CACTGCCCCTCTCCCTCCCCCGCCGCTCTTCCTCGCTCCAGGTGCTCCCCAGGTAGACCCCCTCCCCGCTCCCGGTCCTGCTCCTTCAGGTGTGTCTCAGGTAGACCCTCCTCCCTTCCCTGCGCCGGTCGAGGTCACTGGTGACTCAGGTCCTGCTGGGGGTGGTCCTGCTCGGGGTGCTACTTCTAGGGGTGCTGAGCCTGGGGGTGCGGCGCCTGGGGGTACTGAGCTTGGAGGTACTGAGCCTGGGGGTGCGGAGCTTGAGGGTGTGGAGCCTGGAGGTGCTGAGCCTGCGTGTGAGGGGTCTGGAGGTGCTGAGTCTGGCAGTTCTGAGTCTGGGGGTGCTGCGCCTGCGGGCGCTGGAGGTTCTGGAGCTGCTGGAGGTCCTGGTGCTGGTGGCGCTGGAGCTGGTGGTTCTGGGGCTGCTGAGGGTGCGAGCGCTGGAGGTTCTGGAGCTGCTGGAGGTCCTGGTGCTGGTGGCGCTGGGGCTGCTGAGGGTGCTGGCTCTGCAGGTGCTGGCACTGGAGGTTCGGGCGCTGTTGGGGGTGCTGGCGCTGAGGGTTCTGAGTCTGCTGTTGCGCGGTCTCCTTGGAGTAGCCGCCTTCGTCCGCGTGTACCTCTCACCTCACAGCAGCTGCACGACTGGTACGGTCGCCGTCAGGGTCGCGCTTCTGGAGCTAGGGGCTCTGCTCCTGGAGGTCCTTCTGCTGCTGTCACTGGAGCTGGGAGTGGTGCTGGTCCCGGCGGTGCTCGTACTGGGGGTACTGGAGCTGCTGGGGCTGGAGGTGCTGAGCCTGCGGGTGCTGCTGCTGGAGACACTGCGGTTGGAGACCCTGGGACTGGGGGTGCCGGTTCTGGGGGTGCTGCTGCTGGTGGAGCTGGTCCTGGAGGAGCTGGTGCTGAGGTTTCTGGAGCTTCTGGAGGTGCTGGAGCTGCTGGGGGTGCTGGAGCTGCTGGTGCTGGTGGCACTGCCCAGCCGCGCCTGTTCTTTGCTCCACCGTCTCCGTCGTCTCAGCCACCGCCTGACTCTGTGCTTCGCCAGGTTCTTAGTCTCCCTTCGTCTACTGGTCTTCCGTTACAGCCTGGCTCACCGCTTCCTGCTCCTTCTCCTTACACTGAGCAGGCAGGGGGTCTTGCTGAGCGTCGTGAGCCTGCGTCGCGTCCTGTCTCGCCTGTTCGTCCTGGTCGTACCGGTCGTCGTGTTCCTCGTCCGCGTCAGCCGGCTGTCCCCGGCACACGCCTTGTAGCCCTGCGTCGGTCCCCTACTCCGGAGCGTACTCCTCTTCCGTCTCCCCCTGCGTCCTCTTTGCCTGACGTCGCGGACCCTGAGTCTGACCGATTTCGTGCTGAGCACCCTACTGTCACACGTCTGCTAGCCACTGTTGTCACTGACCCGTCGTTTGAGTCTGCTGCTGCGTCTGCCCTGGTCGTTGAGCTTGTTGACTTTGCTGCTGCCTGTCGTCTAGACTACGCTGCTAGTCTTGTCACTGAGACTGAGTCGGTCTGTCCTCCGTCCGTCGGGGGTGAGTGTGCTCTTGGCACGGACGTCCTTGAGGACAGGCACGAGAACCTTGAGTGTCTTGCAGCCGCTGCGCCTCATCTCGTGGCCATGCTGCTTGCCCCTGAGGGAGACCCGGATGCTGTAGACATCCCGACCCCGCGCTCTTACGCTGAGGCAATCGCGGGTGAGTACTCCTCCCAGTGGCAGACAGCCATGGACGCAGAGATGGCATCCTGGAAGTCCACAGGCACTTACGTCGATGAGGTTCCCCCTCCCGGGGCGAACATCGTCGATGGCATGTGGATTTTCAGGGTGAAGCGGCCGCCGGGTTCTCCGCCTGTCTTCAAGGCTCGTTACGTTGCTCGAGGCTTCAGTCAGCGAGAGGGAGTCGACTTCTTCAAGACCTTCTCCCCCACCCCGAAGATGACCACTCTTCGGGTGCTGCTGCACGTTGCCGCTCAGCGTGACTACGAGCTTCACTCGCTGGACTTCAGCACAGCCTTCTTACAGGGCAGCCTGCACGAGGAGATCTGGCTGCGCCGCCCACCTGGCTTCACTGGGTCGTTCCCTCCTGGTACCCAGTGGAGCCTCCGGCGGCCAGTCTACGGTCTTCGCCAGGCGCCTCGTGAGTGGCACGACACACTGAGGACTACACTTGCGGCTCTTGGGTTTGCTCCTTCGACTGCTGACCCGTCACTGTTCCTGCGCACCAACACTTCGCTGCCGCCGTTCTACATCCTTGTGTACGTCGACGACTTGGTCTTTGCCACTGCTGGCACTGAGGCTCTCGCCCTGGTGAAGTCGGAGCTGCAGAAGAGACACACGTGCACAGACCTGGGTGAGCTGCGCAGTTACCTTGGCTTGCAGATCACCCGGGACAGAGCACGCCGCACCATCACCCTGACTCAGTCACACATGGTGCAGCAGGTCCTTCAGCGCTTCGGCTTCACCTGGTCCTCGCCACAGTCTACTCCTCTGGCTACAGGTCACTCGCTCTCAGCTCCACCTTCGGACGAGTCCGTAGAGCTGAGTGGTCCTTACCCGGAGTTAGTGGGCTGCCTCATGTACCTGATGACCTGCACTCGTCCTGACCTCGCGTACCCTCTTGGCCTTCTGGCACGCTACGTGGCTCCTGGTCGGCACCGAAAGGTGCACATGGATGCTGCGAAGAGGGTACTGCGCTACTTGTGCAGTACATCGGGCATGGGGCTCGTGCTTGGAGGGCAGAGAGACGTGGTTCTCACTGGGCACTCAGACGCTTCTTGGGTTGACGACTTGGCTACGCAGCGGTCGTCACAGGGTTACACTTTCAGCCTTGGCTCTGGTTCTGTTTCTTGGCATTCTACTCGCTCGTCTTCTGTTCTCAGCTCCAGTTGTGAGGCTGAGATCTACGCCACCGCCATGGCTGCTCAGGAGTTACGCTGGCTCACCTACCTGCTGACCGACCTGGGAGAGCGGCCTCGTTCTCCTCCAGTTCTGTACGTCGACAACAAGGCGGCCATTGCCTTGTGTGAGGAGCACAGACTGGAGCACAGAACGAAGCACATCGCTCCGCGTTACTTCCTGGCTCGAGAGTTGCAGCAGTGTGGTCAGCTTCGTCTTGCACACGTGGCCACTCGAGCCAACACTGCTGATATATTCACCAAGGCACTTCCGTCTGGTGATCATCAACGCTTTTGTACTTTGTTAGGCCTTGTGCCTACGTTTCCACACTTGCTGTAGCCTTTGTGTGTACTGTGCTCTATATTTATACCTGCATGCTTGCTCTTGCTAGGTATTGATCACTGTACTGCTCTTGTTGCATATATATATCTCTGCATGTGGACTAGCCTTGTGGCCCTTTGCTTGTGCTCAGATTGTGTGGTGACGTTGTGATCCACCCTGAGCTTGTTTTGCGTTTCTTGACTGGTCTTGTGACCTCTTGTTCTCCCCCACTTTGCCTATGGGGGTGTGTCCAACTGTATATGTTACATACTTGTCCACTTTGCCCATAAAGGGTACAACCCAATGTTAGGGTTAGGATATGTACCCAACTCTGTTTCAATTCAAGTCATTCCTGTCTCTAGTTTCTAACATAGGATGTCAGAATGTGATGTTTGTCTAGCCTGCAGTGGGGTACTCTATAGCGAGTACAGCCCAAGTTAGGTTTTGCTATATGTACTCAACTGCTTGCTAGTGAAAAACCCTCTTTGCCTGTTTCTCGATTGTGCCTAGCATTTCGACATGCTATCAGAGCAGGTCGACCCTCCTGGGTCGATCCTGTGGGTGGTCCCGCCCGTTAGCTTCCGCTGCTGTTCTGTGTGTCGCGCGCCCCGTGGCGCGCGACGGATTTTTCTTCCCGCCACGTGCTCGGGGCGCGCTGCGGTTTTCTGCTCGCCGCGCGCCCCGAACGCGCGGCGGTTTTCTGCCCCGTCGTCCGTGGCGTCGCCCCCAGGAACCCGTCGCGTCGCCCCGCAAGCCCGTCGCGTCGCCCCCAGGAGCCCGTCGCATCGCCCCGCAGGCCCGTCACGTCGCCCCTAGGAGCTCGTCGCGTCGCCCCGAAGGCCCGCGCGTCGCCTCCCCTTCCCGTCGCCCGTCGCGGCGGCCTGGGGGCCCGCGGGCCGCCCTATCCCGTCGCCCGTCGTGGCTGTCAAAGTATAGCTGTGCTATATGTTTGTAGGCTGTAGTGGGGTAGCCAATATGGGGTACAACCCCAACTAGGGTTTCCTATTTGTACCCTTGCTTCTTTCAATCCAATCATTCTTGCCTCATAGTTTTCACATGGTTTCAGAGCAGTAGGTCCGTTAGGACCGATTTTTTTTTCCCGGGCCCATCGAACGCCTGCCTGACTGCGGTTACGGCACTGCCCCACATGCGCCCTGCCTAGCCTGCCCGTCGCGCTGTCCCTTAATCCCGCGCCCGGCCCCTTCCCTGCCCGTCGCGCTGCCCCTAAGCCCGCGCCCGGCCCCTGCCTGCCCGTCGCGCTGCCCCTAGGCCCGCGCCCGGCCCCTACCTTACCGTCGCGCTGCCCCTAAGCCCGCGCCCGGCCCTTACCTGCCCGTCGCGTCGCCCTAAGCCCGCGCCCGGCCCCCTGCCTGCCTGTCGCGTTGCCCTAGGCCCGCGCCCGGCCCCCTGCCTGCCCGTCGCGTCGCCCTAAGCCCGCGCCCGGCCCCTGCCTGCCCGTCGCGCTGCCCCTAAGCCCGCGCCCGGCCCCTGCCTGCCCGTCGCGTTGCCCCTAAGCCCGCGCCCGGCCCCCCTGCCTACCGTCGCGCTGCCCCTAAGCCCGCGCCCGGCCCCTGCCTGCCCGTCGCACTGCCCCTAAGCCTGCGCCCGGCCCCCCTGCCTACCGTCGCGCTGCCCCTAAGCCCGCGCCCGGCCCCTGCCTGCCCGTCGCACTGCCCCTAAGCCTGCGCCCGGCCCCCTGCCTAGCGTCGCGCTGCCCCTAAGCCCGCGCCCGGCCTCTGCCTGCCTCTGCATCCTGCTTTACGCATGCCTGCCTTGCGCTGCTGCCATGGCGACCATGAATGTGCTAGCTTTCGAACCTGACGGTCGCCCGATCGCATTTCCCACTTGGCTTGACGATCTGCAGCTTTTCCTTCTGACTGATGCCAAAGATGGTGTCTCGCTTTTCGACTACGCCACTGGCACTGCCGCTGCTCCTGCTGACAGTGCTCCTGCTGTAGACCGCTCACAGTGGCTGACTCGCGATGCTGCTGCGCGCCTTGCTATCCGCAACCATCTGCCGATCGCTGAGCGCGCGCATTTCAGTCAGCACAAAACTGCCAAGGCACTTTATGACGCAGTAGTTGCACGCTACTCCTCCCCAGCCACTGCCGCTGTAGGAGGCCTCATCCTGCCCTACCTGTTCCCTGACCTGTCCTCCTTCCCCACTGCTGCGGACTTGATTACTCACCTTCGCGATAGTAAGGCCCGCTTTAACGCCGCTCTTAAGGACGAGTTCCATGCCAAGAACCCCCCTCCGCTCTACTTTACCCTCTACCTCCTCGTCACCCGCCTCCCTGACACCCTTAGCACAGTCAGGGACCACTTCCTCGCCATTGACGCCCCCGAGATCACCCTAGACGACTTCGAGCGGCAACTTCTCGCAGCAGAGAAAAATCTCCTAGCTGTCGGTGCCGCTCGAGGCACTCCCCGCACTCCCCTCTTTGAGGGGTGCTCCCCCTCCCCCCTCACCCCCTCGTACGCCTCGGTTGCTACTCCCGTTGACCTTCCTGGTGCTGAGAAGGTCGCAGCTGCTTCCGCTCCTAGTGGGAAGCGCGGCGGGGGCCGGGGCGGCAAGGGGGGCGGGGGTGGCGGGGGTGGGGGTGGGGGGAGCGGTGGTGGGGGCGGTGGGGGTGGGGGGGGGGTGGAAGTGGTCGTGGGGGTGGTGGAGGTGGCAGCAGCGGCAAGGGGGGAGGTGGCGGTGGTGGTGGGGGTGGTGGTGGCGGCGGTGGTGGGGGAGGTGGAGTTCCTTCCCCTGGTCCTGGAGGTGCTCGTCCTAGTGGGACTGGAGCTGCCGGGGCTGGAGGAACTTTATGTGAGGGTTCTGCTGCTGGAGACCCTGGGACTGGAGGTGCCGGTTCTGGGGGTGCTACTACTAGTGGAGTTGGTCCTGGAGGTGCTGGAGCTGGTGGTTCTGGAGCTGCTGGGGGTCCTGGAGCTACTGGGGGTGCTGGTGCTGCTGTCAGTGGACCTGGTCCTGGTGGCGCTGTTGCTGAGGGGGCTGGAGCTGCTGTAGGTACTGGTAATAGTGTTGCTGGTGACACGGCGCCGCGGCGTCTGTTCTTTGCTCCGCCGTCTCCGTCTTCTCAGCCACCGTCTGACTCGGCACTTCGCCAGGTTCTTAGTCTCCCGTCGTCTACTGGTCTTCCATTACAGCCTGGCTCACCGCTGCCTGCTCCTTCTCCTTACTCTGAGCAGCCAGGAGGTCTTACTGAGCGTCGTGAGCCTGCGTCACGTCCTGTCTCGCCTGTCCGTCCTGGTCGTTCCGGTCGTCGTGTCTCTAGTCTGCGACAGCCGCCTGTTCGCAGCACGCCCCTGGTTGTCAGACGTCCTTCTCCCACTCAGCAGCGTGTTCCTCTGCCGTCTCCCCCTGCGTCCTCTCTGCCTGACGTTCCCGACCCTGAGTCTGACCGGTTTCGTGCTGAGCACCCTACTGTCACGCGTCTGTTAGCCACTGTTGTCACCGACCCGTCGTTTGAGTCTGCTGCTGCGTCTGCCTTGGTCGCTGAGCTTGTGGACTTTGCTGCTGCCTGTCGTCTAGACTACACTGCTGGTCTTATTGCTGAGTCTGCGTCTGTCTGTTCACCGTCCGTCGGGGGTGAGTGTGCTCTTGGCACGGACGTCCTTGAGGACAGACAGGAGGACCTTGAGTGTCTTGCGGCTGCTGTACCTCATCTCACGGCCTGGCTGCTTGCCCCTGAGGGAGACCCGGATGCACTTGACATCCCTACCTTCTGCTCTTACACAGAGGCGGTCTCGGGTCCCTACTCCTCTCAGTGGCAGACAGCCATGGACGCAGAGATGGCATCCTGGAAGTCCACAGGCACCTACGTCGACGAGGTTCCCCCTCCTGGGGCGAACATCGTCGATGGCATGTGGATTTTCAGGATGAAGCGGCCGCCGGGTTCTCCGCCTGTCTTCAAGGCTCGTTACGTTGCTCGAGGCTTCAGTCAGCGAGAGGGAGTTGACTTCTTCCAGACCTTCTCCCCTACCCCGAAGATGACCACTCTTTGGGTGCTGCTGCACGTTGCCGCCCAGCGTGACTACGAGCTTCACTCTCTTGACTTCAGCACAACTTTCTTGCAGGGCAGCCTGCACGAGGAGATCTGGCTGCGCCGTCCTCCTGGCTTCACTGGGTCTTTCCCTCCTGGTACCCAGTGGAGCCTCCGACGGCCAGTTTACGGTCTCCGCCAGGCGCCACGTGAGTGGCACGACACACTGAGGACGACACTTGCGGCTCTTGGGTTTGCTCCCTCCACTGCAGACCCTTCACTGTTCCTGCGCACAGACACGTCGCTGCCGCCGTTCTACATCCTCGTTTACGTCAACGACTTGGTCTTTACTACTCCTGACACTGAGGCACTCGCCCTTGTGAAGTCAGAGCTGCAGAAGAGACACACGTGCACAGACCTGGGTGAGCTGCGCAGTTACCTTGGCTTGCAGATCACCCGGGACAGAGCACGCCGCACCATCACCCTGACTCAGTCACACATGGTGCAGCAGGTCCTTCAGCGCTTCGGCTTCAATTTCTCCTCACCTCAGTCCACTCCTCTGTCTACCAGCCACTCGCTCTCAGCTCCACCTTCGGACGAGTCCGTAGAGCCGAGTGGCCCGTACCCAGAGCTTGTGGGCTGCCTCATGTACCTGATGACCTGCACTCGACCTGACCTTGCGTACCCTCTTAGCATCCTAGCTCGCTACGTCGCACCTGGGAGACACAGGCGAGAGCACTGGGAGGCTGCTAAGAGGGTGCTGCGCTACTTGTGCAGTACATCAGGCATGGGGCTGGTGCTTGGAGGACAGGGCTCGGTTGTCCTCACTGGACACTCAGACGCCTCTTGGGTTAACGACCTGGCTACGCAGCGGTCGTCACAGGGTTACACTTTCAGCCTTGGCTCTGGTTCTGTCTCTTGGCGTTCCACTCGCTCTTCTTCTGTTCTCAGCTCCAGTTGTTAGGCTAAGATCTACGCCACGGCCATGGCTGCACAGGAGCTACGCTGGCTCACCTACCTGCTGACTGACCTGGGTGAGCGGCCTCGTTCTCCTCCAGTTCTGTACGGCGACAACAAGGCAGCTCTTGCCTTGTGTGAGGAGCACAGACTGGAGTACAGAACGAAGCACATTGCTCTCCGTTACTTTCTGGCTCGAGAGCTGCAGCAGCGTGGCCAGCTTCGCCTTGCGTACGTGGACTCGAAGGCCAACACTGCTGATATATTCACCAAGGCGCTTCCGCCTAGTGATCATCAGCGGCACTGCACTGCGTTAGGCCTTGTGTCCACGTTCTCTCACTTGCTTACTTCTTGACTTTGTTTGTACTGTGATCTATATATATGTCCTTGCATGCTTGCACTTGCTAGGCTTTGATCACTGTACTACTTGTGTTCTTCTATATAAATCTGCATGTGAACTGGCCTTGTGGCCTTTGCTTGTGCTCAGAGAGTGTGGTGACATTGTGATCCACCCTGAGCTTGTTCTTTGCTTTGATTGACTGGTCTTGTGACCCCTTGCTCTCCCCCACTTTGCCTATGGGGGTGTGTCCAAGTATAGCTGTGCTATATGTTTGTAGGCTGTAGTGGGGTAGCCAATATGGGGTACAACCCCAACTAGGGTTTCCTATTTGTACCCTTGCTTCTTTCAATCCAATCATTCTTGCCTCATAGTTTTCACAGTGGCGCCCTGGGGGCCCGCGAGCCGCCCTACCCGGCGCCCGTAGCAACTCCCCAGGGACCCGCGCCCCGCCCCCCTTCCGCTCGCACGCCGCCCCTACGCGCCGCCTGCGTTTAGGGTTTGGGGGTGGCGGGTATGGGGGTGCCGGGTGTGTGCGCCGTCCCCTCCTCCTCCTCCTTCTCCGTCTCCCACTGCTGCAGCTGCCGCTGAGGGGGGTGGGTGTGTGGGAGCCGAGGGAGTGGCGCTAGGGGGTGTAGTGTGAGCAGTGCTAGGGGTACAGCAGGGGGTGTGTGAAAAGGGGGTGGGACAGCTGGGGAAGTTGAGTGGAGGCCGCCGTCTTGTCGTCTACAGCGCCTGAAGTCCAGAGAGCCACGACCCCCTGTGGCCGTGTAGTCCGGGGCTCTGCGCCCGGTAGCCACAGTGTGAGCACCCCTGGGAGCACAGCGAGCCAGCTGCGACCCCCTGTCGCCGTGTAGTCCGGGTTTAGCCTGGTAGCGACAGTGCTGCGCACTCCTGCTGCCCGTGTGTCTGCAGCTTCAGCCGTCGCCTCCCATCTTCTCGCCCCCGCAGTTTCTCCTCCTCCTCACTTGCCCTCTATGATAGCCTCTAGCTTTGCTTGTATTTGTGAACCTACTGCTCTGCCTGCTTGCTGTGTTGATTGTACCCCACTTTGACTATGGGGGTGTGTCAGAATGTGATGTTTGTCTAGCCTGCAGTGGGGTACTCTATAGCGAGTACAGCCCAAATTAGGGTTTGCTATATGTACTCAACTGCTTGCTAGTGAAAAACCCTCTTTGCCTGTTTCTCGATTGTGCCTAGCATTTCGACATAGGATTCTAACTTGGTATCAGAGCGAAGGTATCAGGTTCAAATCCATGTGTGTGCACCTCGGGCATCCCAGTGCGGGGGGGTGTCAGAGGTCCACTGGAGATCTCCGATTGATCCTAGGGAAGGGTTACGACGGCCAAGGGGGTTATGGACAGGGCCTGTGCTAGGATTTAGGGCACCCTGAGCCCTCAGGGTAACTTCTGAAATTTTTTCCAAAATGCCCTGATTTTGAAGGGCGAAATTTCATGGCCATCCTGAAATTTCAGGGCACCAACAAAAACTCATCCGGATGGTTCAGGGCTAAGAATACAAGGCACTAGAGAGGATGGAGGGGAAGGCACGAAAGGAGTAGGTTGTTCACTGGTTTCACTTCTACCAGCAGAGCAAAAACATTGGTGGGTACGAAAGTAGCACCACCAAAACATTGGTGGGATCAAAAGTAGCACACACATCCCCTAGCCTCCTTCCTCCCCTCTCCCCCCCTCCCCCCTCTGTTGAAATAGTAGCATAAGTGAGGGCTGAGGTTTAAGTGAGGGCCTAGGCTTAGTAGCCTAGGCCCAAGGGGATCGAGCTAGTTTGTGCCAAGGAGGGAGTCGAGAATGAGAGAAGGAAGGGGTCATGTGTTCACTATAGCACTAGGGTACATATAGCAAACAAAGCATGCAAAGAAGGTGCACCACCAACAGTTTATAATAACTACACTAAACTACAGCTACAGGCAGTTACAGATATATTCTAACACTCCCCCATAACTGCCTGCAGCGGGAGTTTGTGCAGAACACAACCTGCAGGGGTACACCAGCAACAGCAATAGCAGGCACGGTAACAGAGCAGGTACAGCAGCAAAGGGACAGGCGACAGCAAGACACTCCTGCCACCCCCTTACTCTCCTCCCCCCCCCCGACCACACGAGGGGCAGCAGGGAGAGAGAGGAGGCGGGCTGGCTCTGGCTGGTCACCCCGTCCATCCCCTCACCCTCCCCCCCCCCCCCCCACACTGCTGCAGGAGCAGCAGAGGGGGGAAGAGAGGAGAGGTGGAGGGACGGCTGCTGGTTGGTCTCACACCCGCCACCCCAGTGCCACTCCCCCGGCTCCCCCACACCCTCACACCCTCCCCCCCAGCGGCAGCTGCAGCAGTGGGAACGAAAGGAGGAGGAGGGGAAGGGCGGCTGCTCCAAGGGCAGGCGCTGGGTGGTGCAGGGTCGGCTGCACCGAGTGCAGGCGCGGGTGAGGCAGGGGCACCGTCGCGGGCGCCTGGGGTGGGTCCGCGGCGGCTCAGGGCACCGTCGCGGGCGCCAGGGGCGGGTCCGCGGCGGCTCAGGGCACCGTCGCGGGCGCCAGGGGCGGGTCCGCGGCGGCTCAGGGCACCGTCGCGGGCGCCAGGGGCGGGTCCGCGGCGGCTCAAGACACCGTCGCGGGCGCCAGGGGCGGGTCCGCGGCGGCTCAGGGCACCGTCGCGGGCGCCAGGGGCGGGTCCGCGGCGGCTCAGGGCACCGTCGCGGGCGCCAGGGGCGGGTCCGCGGCGGCTCAGGACACCGTCGCGGGCGCCAGAGGCGGTTCCGCGGCGGCTCAGGGCGCGTCGCGGGCGCCAGGGGCGGGTCCGCGACGGGCAGAAAAAAGCGTCACGCGCCACCCGGGCGCGGGACAGAACGAAAATCGCCACGCGCCCGAGGCGCGCGACCGGAAAAACAGCAGCGGAAGCGAGAGGCTGGCCCACAGGCCAGGACTTAACAGGCTCTGATAGCGTGTTGAAATAGTAGCATAAGTGAGGGCTGAGGTTTAAGTGAGGGCCTAGGCTTAGTAGCCTAGGCCCAAGGGGATCGAGCTAGTTTGTGCCAAGGAGGGAGTCGAGAATGAGAGAAGGAAGGGGTCATGTGTTCACTATAGCACTAGGGTACATATAGCAAACAAAGCATGCAAAGAAGGTGCACCACCAACAGTTTATAATAACTACACTAAACTACAGCTACAGGCAGTTACAGATATATGCTAACACCCTCCACCCCTTCTCCCCTTCCCACGAGTCAGGGCATCCCTCTACATTTACCCTAACGCTTCAGGGCAAAATTTCACTGCCATTCTGAAATTTCAAGGCAAAACACACGGATCATCCTGACGTCATAGGGTAAATTTCAGCGTCATTCTGAAATTCTATGGCAAACTTAAAACACCATCCTGAAATCAGGGTAATCAGGATGTTTTGCCCTGATATCGTGGGCCCTGGTTATGGGCGCACTCACCCGCTACACAAACAAGTCATTTTATCCCAGTGGTTAGTGACTGGGATTCTGACATCGTACGCCACCGCGCTGAACCACCTTGCAAGCGCTTCAAACACCATCTCGTTTCGCAACTGCCGCCTATAATTTTGATGGCCGAATGGTGATGCACGGGGATCTCACACGCCCTAATGTTTTTCCTCTTCTTCTGAGTAGATTGCATGAACTTGAACACAAGTGAGACTGACAATGCAGTAGAGTGTCAAGATTCAAGACGTGGATTATGATAATCTGGTCACCACTGGAAAGAAAATGGTTCCAAATACTCATCCTACGAGCACACAAAAGAAAGAAAACAAGAAGAAAAAAATGACAAACAAAGAACGCGCACAAAAACACACACGACAACCTAACGACAGAATGACTGTTCATCCCTCTCAAAAGCACGGTATGTCGACAAATGAAAGACGGCAAGTCTTCCGACAAAGCAAATTTTCCCCACACAACAATCGGGAAGCGTTGTACTGCACAAAATTCACCACCGCCCCCTGTCTCCACCAAGGGTGCTTTGCCCCCAAATCCCCACCAATGTAGACAATCCATGGCTCTAAAACCATCCCCCGGGATCGAAACAGCCCTGCCCTGCACTGCTTCTGTGCCAGCCAATGAGGAAACCAATACAGTGGTGGAACCATCTGTGACCCGAGTCTGTTTGCTTGCAACTGCCACCACCCAAAGCGCCTCCAGCTGAAGAAACAACAGCACCCGCCTGCTATTCCTGCTTCTGCTTAATCAAAACCACCAACATTTCTGCAGCTGGAAGGTGGTTTAACCACTGAAACTGATGCACCTGCGAGAAACCTCTGCCATCGAAAATTCAGCAGCTGCAACTGCCACTGGAACCTGTAACTGCAGCTGAACCTGCCTAACAAAACTGCTGCCATGCCACCAAAACCACTGCATCTCCGACGGTTGCTGCTGATTTCAAAATGTTTCCAAATAAAACTACCCATCTCCACAACCCCTGAGATAAAACTCTTCCCAATCAAACCGCACCCACTGCCGCTGCAAATGTAGCTGCTCCAAATGCTGCCATAAAACCAACGCTCCAAAATCTGACCCTGCTGTCTCAAAAACTACTCTGGAACTGATCATTACTGTGAAATGCAGACCACACCATCACTGTTCTGCAGACCGATCACCGAATGCTGGCACTGTGACCGGAACACCAAAAGCTGGCGCTACCCTTAGCAGCGGCTGCTGCTGCTGCTGCTGCTGCTGATGCTGCCACTTCCGGCTTCGTGTGCAAATGAATGGACGAATAAGGCTCAGGATGACAGCCAACCAACCAACCGCTCCATGGTCACGTAGATGAATGTGATCAGTCGTCCCATCCACACCCGCATATCAGTCGTCCCATCCACGTCAGCATAGTCAGAAGAGTTGATTATTCCCAACTGTCCCTCCCTCTCTCCAGCCAACCCGTAAAAAGTGGGCTGCTGTATCCGTCCTCAGAACGATCGAATGACTTGAAAAACAAACAGGAAAAAAAAAAAAAATGAAAATTCGCGGAGGACAATCAGCACAAGGGCCAGCAGGTGTGTTACTCCGCTGCTGCGACTGCAGCAGCAGCAGCAGGAATAGGTGCCGAAACATAAGGCGCAGCAGAGACTGACAGAGGGGCAGCAGAAGAAAGAGGAGCAGGAGCAGCAGGAGCAGGAGCAGGAGCAGGAGGAGCAGCAACAGACAAGGCATGAGACGTGAGTTCTGCAGGTTTGAAGGACTGCGTGATGGGCAGGCGAGTGGAGAAGGCAAGATCGAGGAGAGAGATCGAGGGGCGAGATGGGGAGGAGAGCAAGGGAGATGCAGACGAGAAGAGTGGGCTGGAGGAGGGGGTGGAGACGCGGGGAGCAGCAGCAGGAGTGGTGGCGTCGGCAGGGGTGGAATCATCATCAGCAGCAGGGGCAGCAGCAGCAGCAGGCAGTGGTGAGGAGGAGGTTGCTTCTGCAGCTGCATTGCCATCAGCAGCAGGTGCTGGGGACTTAGGAGGAGACTGTGAAAGCGGAGCAGGTGGGGGAGATGAGGCGGCGGCGGTGGTTACGGCAGCGGTGGTGGACGGGGAAGCGATTGGCTTGGAGATGACGTGAAGCATTTCCCGCATGGCAGCCTGGAAGAGGAGGAGATGGGTGAGCGATCGAGTGAGGGAGGGAGTGAAAGGGAAGGAGAGGGAAGGTACAGACGATTGGAAAAGCGGTCGTGACAGTGAAAGGGGTGGGGAGGGGAGGGGCTTGGAGATGGCGTGAAGGATTTATTGCATGGCCACCTAGGAGAGGAAGAGATTGGTGAGGGAGCAAGTGATGGAGTGAATTCAGACAATTAAAAGCGTGTCTGGTCCAGAGAATGTCCGACAAAATCAACGCAGAGGAGTTTCCAACGCTTGGGATGTACATTCACAGCCAGTGCATTTTCGACATCAGCTGCCCGGGAGAACCAAGTAAGTAATTTACAGCCCATGCAAGGCCGAACCTTGCATCCAAGTGTCGAAAATGCAATGCCTCTGACTGTACATCCCAAGCGTTGGAAACTCCCCCACGTTGATTATGTTTAACTGACTGCCAAACACATGCACACCTACTCACCCCACCCCCTCCTCCCCCCCCGCCCACGCACATAGCTGCATGTGCCACATGGCAAACGAGCCAGAAGCCCAGAGCTGATGTTGGCTCTGGGGCGAAGTGGGTCGTCAATCCATAGAGCAGCTCCAATCAATTGCCGAGCATACATGCACACCCACATCCATACACTGACACGTACACACCCTCCACCCCCTTCCCCCTCCCCCCACCCCCACACACACTTGCACGTTCCACATGGCAAACGAGCCTGAGCCGATGTTAGCTCCGGAGCAGAGCGGGTGGTCAATCCAGAGAGCAGTTTTGACTGACAACACCTCACACAAATCCACACACCACCAGTACATGCACACGCATGCTCATACCACCCCCCCCCCCCACGCACATAGCTGCACGTGCCACATGGCAAACGAGCCGGAGCTGATGTTAGCGCCGAGGCGGAGCGGGTCGTCAATTCAAACAGCGATTCCAATTGATTGCCAAACACACATGCACACCCACATCCATACACCGGCACTTACACACCCTCCACTCCCTCCCCCTCCCCATCCCCCTTCCCATGCGCACACCTGCACGTGCCACATGGCAAACGAGCCCGAGCCGATGTTGGCCCCGGGCCGAAGTGGGTCGTCAATCCAGAGAGCAGCTGGCGGCATGGAAGGGTCCCTCCAAAACACGCCGCCCGGCATGCCGTTCAGACCCTGAGGTGTGGATAAGAGGAGAATGATCAAGAATGAAAATGAGAAACGAGAGGGCTGCAGCAGCAAGAGGCACAGAAAGGTCCGTCCAGTCCCAGCATAATGTTCAGACCCTGGGAGACGAAAAAAAAAAAAAAAAAAAGGAAAATGCTTTAAAAAAAAAAAAAGAGGAAGACAACACCTTTGGCATGGAGCAGTCACTCAGGTATTGTAGCGGCTTCACTTACCCATGAAAATGAGGTGTACACAACCGGTCCCTCATTTAGGCATAGACAGACCTCTTTTAGCACGCCTACTACCCTCTAACTTACCCTGAGAATGAGTCGAACCCGTGAGAGGTCAATCTCCTGGCCGAACAGATGCAGGAAGCCGATAAGCAGCACTCCCAGGTTCGGCACAGGTACGGACTGCGCCGAACCTGGCAAGTCGTCAACCACCACCCCCTTTACAGGCCCGTCCGCTGCAGTCACTGCCGCCACTTCACCCGCCTTGTTGCTGCCAGAACTGCTGCTGCTATTCTCAGCAACTGGTGGCTTTTCTTCTGTGCCAGTCGCAGCATCAGCATCTGAAGACCCAGCAGAACCGTCAGCAGCAGCAGTAGTGGCATCGTCGCCGCCCGAAACAGCAGCTGCGGCAGTGACAACACTATCAGAAGCAGTCACATTTCCTGCTGAAGCAGCAGCAGCAGCAGCAGCAGCAGCAGCAGCAGCAGCAGCAGCAGCAGCAGCAGCAGCAGCAGCACCGCCACTGGCTTGCTCAACCTTGGAGTCTGCAGACTTTGATTCAGGTGACTTGGCTGCTGCCTCAGCAGCAGCAGGAGCAGGAGGGGGAGCCATGCCACATGCCACAGGGGCTCTCTGCCAAAAACAGAACGGGAGAGAACAGGCACACATAACAGCTGTGACTCGCAGCTCAACCCCAGCAGCATTACTTTGCTTAAGGTTTGAAGAGCATGCAGCCTCAGCATAGGCAGAGGTAGCGGCAAGAGGAGGGCGAGTTCAACATGCAATGTACAGAACTCGCCACAGTGCATGCAACAAGGAACGACAGAGCGCACCTCAAGGTACTAAACTAGACATGCATAATAGTCAGGGAGACGAGCATTTTAGTCAGGGAGAAGGGTGCAAACTGAAGGCAGCTCTCAAGTGATGTACCTCGAGGTAAAAGACGAGCGTCATGGTCAGAGAGAAGGCTTAAAAGGCGGCTCACACAAACCGTACCTCGGATTTGAAAAGGGCTCAAAGATCGTACCTCAAGGTAAAAGACGAGCATCATCGTCAGAGAGAAGGAGCCGAGCCCGCCAGTGTACACGTCCTTGAGGCCCCGGTGGTGCAGGTAGGACTTCATCAGCAGCACCTGGAAACAGGACGGATGAAGAATGGGAGGCGGGAGATAGGGGAAGTGGAACCGCGCAGGCAATGGAAGCCAGATAGACGTCTACACAAGACAAAAGAGGTCAGTGTAGACGTCCTTGAGTCCCCGCTGGTGCAGATAGGACTTTTTCAGCACCACCTGGAGGGGGGAAAGTAAACAAGCAGGCAAGCGAATCAGCACAAGAGAGGCTGGCTGGATGCACTTGATAAATCCTGCCTTAAAACCCCAAACCCTGAACAAGGTCCAACGGCTTACTGCAATGACCTCTGCCAGCCCAGAACTCTCCAGAGGAGCAAGGGAGCACATTTTCTTGAGGCGTTCAATCACCAGCTCTCTGGCTGCTGACCCGTTGAGATGCCCATCTGAACCACTCACTCCTCATGCACTCACTCTCACCACATGCAACCCCTAACCTGCAGCCCCAGTCCATAACCACTCCACGAGAGCCCAGCCCTTGGACTCACCAGGGGGGCAAGGGCGGGCATTTTCTTAAGGCGTTCAATCACCAGCTCCCTAGCGGCCGAACCATTGTGTGCCGCAGCCGCCTCGTCCAGCTTCCCTGCCAGCACCCTGCTGGCCGCATCCCCCACCTCCATGCTCTTGGGCCGCGACAGGGAGAACGTAATGTCCATCCGAACCACTCCCTGCACACTCGGGCCCACCAGGTCCGACGCCGAAGCAGACGGCTTCAGCGCCGAGCCTGCTGCTGCCGAACCTGCTGCCGCCGCTGTGCCGTTTGCCTCTCCTGCTTCACTCTCTCCACCACTCCCCTCTGTGGAACCAGAAGACCCAACACCCCCCTCAGGAGTCGACGCGGCCTTCTCCTCCTCTGCTGTTGCTGTAATCTCTCCAGTCTCAGCAGTAGCGGGCGGCAGCGGGCGGCACTTGAGTTTGATGACGGGGATGCGGGCGGTTTCAATGGTGTGCAGGCTCTCACACCACGGCTGCTTCTTCAGCGCTGCTGCCAGCTGCCTGATCAGCGGCGCACTGATGCGCGCACCTGGGAGGGAGGGAAAGAAGGGGAGGAGATGGGCATGGGTTTATACTTTTGAAGCAGTTTCAATGATGTGCAGGCTCTCACACCACGGCTGCTTCTTTAGTGCTGCTGCCAGCTGGCGGATGAGTGGCGCACTGATGCGCGCTCCTGCGCGGGAGGGAGAGGAGGATCAAGAAGAAGACATAGTGGGCTTCTTGTTGGAAACGCGAGCTCTGGTAGGTCAGCGACTTTCGAGGCGTCCAAAAACTTGATACATTCACCTCTTGCTTTTGTAATCACTTAAAGACTCATGCGCGCACATACCTGACAGGCTGGCGAGCTCTGGTAGGTCGGCGGGTGGTGGGGGTGCATTGATCACTGCCACGTCAACATCGCTGTGTGGTGACTTCAGAGTCGGTTCAAAAGTCAACAGACTAAGCCTGCCTGATGCACGCACCTGACAGACCAGCGAGCTCCGGTAGGTCGGCGGGTGGTGGGGGTGCATTGATCACTCACTGCCAGGTCAACATCGCTGTGAGGTGGCTTTTGAGTCGACTTAAAAGTCAAACACTTAAGGCCTCATGCACGCACGCACCTGACAGGATGGCGAGCTCTGGTAGGTCGGCGGGTGGTGGGGGTGCATTGATCACTGCCACGTCAACATCGCTGTGAGCGAGAGCAAGCCCAGTGGCGAATGAACCGAACACCTGAAAGCATGGGAGTAAATGGGAAAGCAGATAGAGGAGGGAGCAGGAGTGGGGTTGGAGGGTTTTTTTTTTGGTGCAGGGGAGGGGGTGAAGGGGGTGCATTGATCACTGCAAGTCAACATCACTGTGAGCGAGAGCAAGGCCAGTGGCGAATGAACCCAACGCCTGAGAGAATGGGAGCGAATAGGAGAGCGGATATAGAGGAAGGGATGGACAGTGGGGGTGGAAGGGGTGGTTTGGGGGGGGGGGGGGGGGGGGGGAATTGGTCACTTCCACGTCAACATCGCTGTGAGCAAGAGCAAGGCCAACACCATAGGTCACAATACACCATCACAATACACCAGCGATGTTGCTCGCAGCGTCTCTCAAGCCCATCTACACCACAACTACTCACCTCCACATCGGCTCCTTCCCACAGGGACCTAACCGTGCGCCTGCCACACGCCAAAGCCTGACCCGCGCCTCCCTGGGCGGCCGCACCTCCTCTGCATACGCCAGCACCTCCCCATGCAGCGCCCACCACACACCCCATGACTCCATACACGCCAGGACTCACCACATGCCAGGACTCACCTCCACACGCAAACAGTTCCCCCTAGAGGGAACACACGCCTGAAACTCACCTCAACGTCAGCTCCTTCCCACAGGGACCTAACCGTGCGCCTCACACACGCCACAGCCTGCTCCGCGCTGACCCGTGCCTCCCTGGGCGGCCGCACTTCCTCTGCACACGCCAGCACCTCCCCATGCAGAGCCCACCACACCCCAGGACTCAGATCCACATGCAATCATGCACAGCAACTCACCTCCACGTCAGCTCCTTCCCACAGGGACCGCACTGTGCGCCTGACACACGCCACAGCCTGCTCCGCACTGACCCGCGCCTCCCTGGGCGGCCGCACCTCCTCTGCATACGCCAGCACCTCCCCATGCAGCGCCGCCGCGTTTTGCAGCAGCGCAGCCGGCGGCACTGGGAACGCCGGGAACCCTGCGATCGGCACGGCTAGCATGCGCGGATGCAGGTGCGGGAGAGGGTGGGGGTGCGGATGGGCGCGGGGGTGGGTGTGGGGATTGGCGTGTGGGTGGAGGGGGGCTTGACCAGGGGCGTGAGTGAGTGGGGTGAAAGGGAGTGGGTGGTAGAGAGCGGAGGGAGGGGCGGTCCCAGGGAGGACCCCTGCAGTTCCTGTGTGAAAAGGGGAAGCTGGAATAACGGATCCTCCTGCTGCGGCTGCTGCTGCTGGAATGACGCCTCGTCCTTGCCCTGCTACTGCTGCTGCTGGAGCAACAGCACCAGCGGAGACGGGAGGAACGCCACTCAATGAGGCCGCAGCTGCCGCCGCAGCAGCAGCTGCTGCAGACGCACCAGCAACGACACCACCTCCAGCCTGCCTCACCGCCCCTGCTGCTCCTCCTGCTGCATGAATTTCCCCTCCCTGCCCGCGCCCCCCTGCTGCTCCCCCGTGGCGATACCCGCCCCCTCTGCCCCCCCCAGCGCCAGCAGCAGCGCCGCCTCCCCCAGGCGCAGCCGCCCCCTGGCGTTGCTGGTACCTCATGGGCCGCCCATGCTGATTCCCCTGCTGGTGCTGGTGCTGGTGGTGCTGGTGCTGGTGCTGGTGATGCTGGTGGTGCGGTTGGTGCTGCTGCTGCTGCCGTTGCATGTGCAGAATCGGCTGGCCAGCGCCTACCGCAGCAGCAGCAGCAGCAGCAGCAGCAGCAGCAGAAGCAGTGTGGGAAGGAGCTGTGGCGGTGTGCTGATTCGGAGAGGCTGCAGATGATGCAGCTGATGCAGATGATGCAGCTGATGCAAATGATGCAGCTGATGCAGATACACCTATGGAAGCCCCTCCAGAGGATACGCCAGTAGAGGCGTTACTCCTCCCCCCGTGCTGCTGCTGCTGGTTCTGGTGATGATGATGGTGGTTGTGATGCTGATTCTGCCGCTGCGGCTGAGACGAAACCCTAGCAGAAACTTTAGACCCCGCTCCTCCCCCTCCCCCTCCACCACCACTGCTCTTCCTAGCACCACCCTCACTCTCACCCCCCTGCGTCTTTCCCTTCTGACCCCCCGTCCCACCCTCCCCGGGATTCTCAACACCCCCTTCCTTCTCCACCCCTTCCTCCTTATCCCCTGCCTTACCACTCACAGCAGCAGCACTCCCTTCAGAAGCCCCATCCTGCCGCCCACTCCCTGCCTTCCTCCCATCCTTCCCCTTCTCCCCTGCACCCGCGCCAGCCTGCTTCCCCCCCTTACCCTGCTGCCCCTGCTGCTGCCTCTGCCCGTCCTGCTTCCCACTGGAAGAACCCCCTCCCGCGCCATGAGACTGCGCGCCCTGGTGCTTCTGGCCTCTTCCTTCAGCAGACCCCGTACCCGCGCCAGCGCCTGCCTGGCCTGAGCTACCTTGCCCAGCCCCGCTGTCCCCCAGACGCTTCAGTATCGCCGCGTCGTTCCCCTGCCACGCCGGGCGCCGGGACCTCGTCGCCTGTGGTGCCGCTGCCACTGGCTTCCCATCCGCGGCTGTAGCAGCAGCAGCAGCGGCGGCGGCTGCGGGTGCTGCGGTTGTAGCAGCAGCTGCTGCGCCGTTCGCGGCTGTAGAGGCACCTGCTGCCTGCCCGTCATCCGCACCAGTGCGTGCTGCTACAGCCGTGGTAGAAGCAGCACCGCCCGTCGCACCACCCATCGCCCCCCCTGCGGCCCTATCCGGCCCTTTGCCCGTCCCCTTCTTCCCTCCCCCCTTACCTTCCTTACCCCCTCCTGCAGCCGGGGTCCCCCTCTTCACCCACACACCCGTGGGTTTCTCTTCCCCACTCGCCCTCCGCCCCACCCTTCCGCCCGCCCCCGCAGCAGCTCCCGCCGCCCCCCCTGCTCCGCCCCTTCCTTGCGCCTTCTCCTTGGGTCCACTAGACACTTTAATCCACCCCTCCTCCTCCTCGTCCCCAGCCTTCTGCCCGCTCGCACTCGCGGCTGTAGCTGGTTTACCCTCTTTTGGAGGGCTACTAGAGCGGGTTTCCCCTGGCGCTGGTGCTGGTGCTCCTGCCACAGAAGCAGGCGCGTCAGTGCTCTCTGCAGCAGCTGCTGCCGAGTCAGGGCGGGGTTCTTCCTTGCTCACCTCCGCCGCTCCTGCTGCACCTGCTCCGCCTCCGCCAGTCTCTCCTGCGCCTCCCCCTGAGGCCACTCCCGTTGCGCCCTCCGCGCCTTCAGGACTCCCCCCAGCAGCCGCGCCTTCCTCCGCCTTCCCCAGCAAAACAGCCGCAAACGAAACATTAGCACTGCGCACGGACCAAACGCTTCCCCCTCCTCCTGCGGCGCCTGCGCCCCCCTCCCCCGCAGCCTTCCCCGGACTCCCGCCTCTCCCCGCCCTCTCTGCTTCTCCCTCCCCCCGTTTTTCCCCCTCCGCCCCTTGCTCGGAAGACGTGGACCCCGTATCCTCCATATGGAGAACCCCGTTACCGTTACACTCCGCCTCATGCTCCCCCCCGCCCGCGGACGACCGCTCCTCGCTGCTGCTTCCCCCCGTGGTGCTCAGATCGGGGGAAACCAGCCCGCTCCCGCTACTAGACGACTTGCTACAGCTGTCCGCCTCCCCCTGCCGCCAACGCCCTGCGGAGTCCGCGCGGCCTCCGCCATCCTTCCCGCCAGCTGCGGAAGGCGCGGGCGGCGGCAGCGGAACAGCTGCTCCCACTGCGCCTCCGCCACCCACTCTCCCTACGCCCGCTCCCCCTGCTCCCCCTGCTCCCCCTCCGCCCCCCGCAGCATGCCCCACGCCATTCCCCGCTTGGTTCTGCGCAGAGCGCCAGTGCGCCCCCTGATGCGCGTGCCCGTGCTTCTTCCCGCGGAAATGCCCGCCCCCGCCGCCGCCGGAATAGCCGCCGCGCATCCCCCGGCCCTTGGGTTTGACCTTCTCCCACTGCCCGCCCTCCTCGTCCCCCTGCTGCTGCTTCTCCCCCTCGCCTTCTCCCCCTTCCAGCAAACCAAAGACTCTCAGCAGGTTATTGGCCTACAGGAGGAAACAAGAGGGAAGAGGGAAACGCAAAAACGCAAAGTTTGTGTTGCTGTATTTCCCAGCCCTTGAGAGGGAAGATGGAGCAGTGCTGCATTCACCAGCCATTGGGCTTGAACTTGTCTTACTGCCTGCCCGCCTCGTCCCCCTGCCTGTTGCTGCTGCTATTCCCCTTTCCCCCCTCCCAGCAAACCAAAAGGTCGCAGGAGGATATTCGCCTGTATGAGGACTGGAGAGAAACCCTCCTACCCTACCATCAAGACACCATAACTTCCCGTTAAGAGATGCCTCAAAACTCCCGGTCACGTTACCTCCATGCCACCATGTCTTGACGCGCAAGTACAAAGCAAATAACAAACTACAATCAAGCGCAAACGATCCTGAAGCGATCATACCTTGCCAGGAAGGGCTCGGAAGGTGCGAGCCCTAACCTACTTTTGAGACGTCTCAAAAGTCATCTAACCTCACCAGGAATGGCTAGACTCGAACCTGGGCCCGTCCAGTCCAACAGCGGCGTGATCTTGCATTCACCCCTTGCTAAGAGCGTACGTCAGCAAGAAAGAACGTTCTAGCATGAAAAAATGCATCCGTTTTTGTGCATCGGATAATCTTTGAGACGACTCGAAGGTCAGAATCTCTACGAATTGTCAGGATCCATTTACCCTTCTACCTCGGCAACAGAGAGAGTTTTCGCATGAAAACACTTCCCTGTCCTAGTGCATTGGCACAGAAGCTTTTAACTCGACTCAACAGTAATGTTCCTGCATCCAATGCTCTCAAACAATACAATGTAGCTCGGCAAGAAGGGAGGTGCAGAATCCGTATTCCTAAGAACGTCACCGTCCTACTCCAGTGGTACGGTATCGTTCAATCCGACTCAAAAAAGTAATGTTCGTTCATTGCATTCATCCACCCTTTCAGCGAACGTACAAGAGGCGGTGACTGGTTCTGCCCAGCAATTGTTTGAAACCATACAAGGTTGACTCGGCGAAGAAGAGCTCAAGCCGAAACCTGGTGACCTCTAGTCTAGATGAGGGGATGACTGTAAGTGACTACGAATAACCTGGTTACTCGATTATAAAGGAGTGCAACCCGGCTGGGGGAGTTGAGTCAAAGTGTGGTGAGGGTAACTCTAGACGAGACAGCGACTGACTGTGCCTGGAAATGACTCGGTGAGAATACCGTGGAATGAGGTGGTGTCAGGCTATGCCTACCAATGACCTAGTGATTGGAACTAAAGATGAATGAGCGGAACTTGGCAGGGGGAGCTCGAGTCAACACTTGAGTTCATTAAAGCGGTACGGGCACCAAAGGAACTCGACTTGCTAATTGCACTTCCAGCCTCTACAGGAGCACGAATATGGCTGGAAGTGCAATTAGCAAGTCGAGCAGCACGACTATAACTTCACACATATTGACAAGGGAGACTTCGAGGCGGGACTTGGATCCGTAAAGCTGGCACAGAAGCCGGTTATGCAGCTCTGCACTGGCTGGTTCGTTCAGCTAACGCTCATTCAAAGTACCGCGGCATGGGAGAGCTCAAGTAGGAACTTAGGTTGGGCCAGTCGTTGGGGTAGAGGAACGGGCAGAACTTGGTTTTGTCCAGAATATAGTGAATAATTGCGTTAGATGGTGCATTCACAGCCCAACGTACCTCTGTCACGGAGACGCGGAACATAGGCCCGTCGAGGTGATACGGGAACCGGCGGAAGTTGGTTTCGTCCAGTATGTATACATTGAATAATGCGTTGGAAAGTACATCTACTGCCCACCGTACCTCGACAAGAGAGAGAGCTTAAGGCAAAACTTGAGCCCGTCATAGTGGTACAGGAACCGATGGATGTAGGTTGCTCTCGTCCAGTATATCTACACCCCAATGTACCTCGGTCAGGAGAGCTCGAGGCGGAACTTGGACCCGTCGTAGTGATACAGGAACCGACGGAACTAATCGTGGTTATACAACCTCTGAATGAGTGATTCAACCTTTTTTCCTTTCTTTCATAAAAAGGGATATGCTTCATGACCTTTCTGAAGCAGCGACCATATACCCCAACGTACCTCGGTCAGGGACAGCTTGAGGCGGAACTTGGGTCCGTCTTAGTGGCACAGGAACAGATGGATGGAGGTTGCTCTCGTCCAGTGTATTATGTATTGAATAAATGCGTTGAAAAATATATCTACAGCCTAACGTACCTCGGACAGGGAGAGCTCGAGGCGGAACTTGGGCCCGTCGTATTGATACAGGAACGGGTGTGTGGAAATTGCTTTCCTTCAGTGATTATCTATTGAATAGATGCATTGACAGCTCAAATCTACAGCTTAACGTACCTCGGTCAGAGAAAGCTCGAGGCGGAATTTGGGCCCGTCGTAGTGATACAGGAACCGACGGAACTTGGTCTCGTCCAATGGTGACCGTTGCTCTCGCAGGCGAACCCTAACCTGCATGTTGCACAAAACAGGAGCGACGGAACACAAAGAGGTAGCCCGCTTGCCAATGAATGCTCCATGAGAAAAGAAAGTGACAGCACAGTTTCAGGAACAACAACACGCAAATTCGCGCTAAGAAAACAATTTACCAAACAAACAAAAGGGGAGGAAGAGATGGGGAAAGGGGGGGGGGGGGGGGGGAGTTGGGGGTGGAGGGGTGAGGGGAAAGGGGATAGAGAGAGCGAGGGAATTCAACAGGCTGAAACACGAGGTGCAACTTACTTGTGATGGAAATTTCGATAACGACGGGTCTAAGTTCAGGCCACCTTCGCTTGATGCCTATAACGGTATGGGTGACGAAAAGGCAAGAAGAGGAAGGAGCAGCGAAACAAGTACACAGAAATCAAACGTGAGGGGACGGAGTGAGAGAGAAAGAGGGAGGCACTCTGATGCTTCGACGGTTCTCAGAACGCTAGCAGTCAGCTATTTTACACCTTAGCGGTCTCTACTCCACAAAAAATCTACAGTAAAGCAGAAAAAGTATACACTTCCATTGATCTAATGCATGGTTCTTCAGTTCCGAACAGCCCTTTCGCTACAAAAAGGATTCTGAAAACACACCTCGAAGACGCCGTGTAAATGGTGCGTGGTGTAGTTGTAGAGAAACAGCGGCATTCCCGGTTGAATCCCCCGCACCGACTCGTGATACTTCTGGGGTAAGCCTGAAGGCAAGGCACGTGGGAGATCGAAGAACAGCGTGCGACAATGAATGATCGTATCACAAAGCTGCATTCGTTTCGACTCGAAAAAGATTGAACGGAGATATTAAGCGACCGTCAACAAGGAAATGGCATATATAATCTGTCCGTCACTGAGTTACTAAACCACAGCTCATCAACAGGTTGAGGAAAACACGGAAAAAAAACTATGAAGAGACCTTCACGCTTAAAGTGAAATATAAAAAAACGACGGATGCTCGTTAAGTTCAGGAGCATTGTTGGAACTGCAATGACTTAGCACTCGGACTTCTGAGCGGACTGAAAAGTCACTTCGTCGAAGCTGCGAACAAAGCGAGCATCGCGAACGCGTGCGACGGAAACCAATACTGAAGAAGGACACTCAAGGTACGTTGAGAAGATTTTTGAGAATTCTCAGGAGTGATTCGAACGCGTGCGACGCAAAACAATACTGAAGGAGGACATCCGAGAAAAAACAGCGATCGAGGGGTAAAAGAGAAGCCATTCTTCTATCAGGTGAGGTGCGTTAGTGGCCCCATCAAAAGCTTTCGGCTGTGAACGATTTGCAAACGACGATCTACGGCTCGATCGGCGTATCGTGTATCGATCACCGCGGGACGCAAACATGTCGATCGCCGACAGTTGTAAACCTGTCGATCACAACGTTACGGCCTCCGTCGCTTCTTTGTTGCACACGTACACCGTAGACCGTCAGCTGTTTTGCAGCCAACTACTCAAAAGCATCACCAAGGCGAACGGGTACCGTCGATCGGCAAGAAACGGCTCACCGAAAAGCTCGCGTTTTATGTCATCCTCCATGGTTTCATTGTTGCACACGAATATATAGCCAGCGAGCGGGTCCTCCAACGGAGGAGCGTCCGTCGACGGAACGGCAGATTTCCGATCGTGAAACCCCTCCTGCTGCCGGTACGTCTTTAAGTTGGCCATTTCGAATGGCCTGGCGGAGGGCCTGGACGGCCCAGCGCCTCACCCTAAGATTGCTTCAGAAACTGACGACTAAGGAGATCAAAACAGCACTTCCGATCTGGGGAACTCGACCTGGCTGTCCAACTAAACCCCCGATAATGGACGATGCAAAGAGTAGGGTTCCGACGTGAAAGACGAACGGGAGATCGGGACACCGATGACAGTCTTGTGGGAGTAAAGACCGGGAAAGTGAGTTAGTCCTGCCTTGTAACACGCTCCAGAACAGAAGCTGTTCCGAATGGCCTATAGCATCTGAATGGCCTGGAGGAGCAGGACGGAATTCCGCGAAAAAGGGAGGAGAGGAGAGGAGGGGGGTTTGGGTTGGGGAGGATGAGGACGAGGTGGTTTGAATGGTTAAGAGTTTAGGGCAACGTCGGACTGAACCTCTCTTTTCTCTCCTATAGAGCGCAGAAACGCTTGAAAACTCTAGTAACCATTTTGAACCGCATTATTATACGTTTCCACAGCCATCTTGGAAACAAGGGATGGATGGGAGGAGGGGAGGAGGTATGCGGGAGGGTGTGACGGGATGGCAGCGAAGCGCAGTGTGCGAAGAGAAGTAGCTGAACGACATAGACGATATCGTATGCGATGTCCTTGTGATGACTGGCTTGCGTGCCTGTCGCAAGGCGACCATATCTTCAGCGACCAGCCACAAACTACTGCAGCGATGATGGTTGCGACTGGCGGTTCGTGAGATTCAGGGTGCCCTGCTGGAGCCGGTGGCGATGGCGAGGAGTCCGTCGCACATGCCTCGCCTGGTCTGGCGACTGCTCGCGAAATCTGAGATGATGTACCTGAGTGACCAGGTGGATCTCTGGAAGTCTGAACACCAATCATGTGCGAGATGAGACCTCCCATCCAGAAAGCTGCGGATAGGGCCGTGGATTCTTCTGGCTCTTGTGTACCATGGCAGCCAGCCATCTGTGCCCCCACACACAGCTCCAGCAGCCGAGGAACAAATTCTCGGAACAAATTGCCATTTCTGCGGCGCGCTCTGTCCGATATGAAGTGATAACTTGCCCGAAACACTCAGTAGTGCCAGGTGGCTAAGAATATCAAACTACCAAAAAGAAATTGAAGAGCCACCCTTATGTGGGATGAGCTGTGATGTCAACTTTACACATGCTTGTGTGCCCCTTTTATGGGAGACTTAATTTCTAAGCCAGAAAATATATGCTTACCTTGAAAGTCATATAATATGAAGCTATATTTATTGCATATTGCTAAGACCAACACATAACATGTCACTCACGTTGGGTGCACAACAATGGGGTGTCCTAACGCTGGCACCTTATGATAACAGCGGTCTCCTAACATCACCCTCAGGCAATATGTTAATCGTTACGGGAGGTTTGGTGCACGAGGCAGCACAACAGGGAGCAGATTTCATGCAGCGGATGGCGAAGTAAACAGGCAGCGCCGTGAAAACAAAAGCAAGTGAGAGGAGTGACGGGACGAGCTGCGTGACAAGAGATGAGATGACAAGGTACCTGTGGAGGAGTTGAGAAGGGTAAACGGGGTGGGGGTGGAGTGAGTGGGGGGCTAAACAGGCAGCGCTGTAAAAACAAAGGCGAGCGAGAGGAGCGACGGGGACGAGCAGCGTGACAAGGGATGAGATGACAAGGGAGGGGATGACAAGGCACCTGTGGGGAGTTGGGAAGAGAAGGGAAAGGAGGAAAGATATGTACGGGTGGAATGAGTGAGGGGCTAGAGAAGCACTTGGAACTGCAGCTGCTGGTCGAGATACCGGTACCTGTGGGTGAGTTGGAAGAGAGAGGAGTGAAGTGTAGGGGTGGAGTGAGTGAGGGGATACGGGGGGTACAGAGCCACATCATCTCAGTGACGACAGAAAAGATGACAACCATGGGCCTGTAAGACGAGGAGATTATTTTTTAGGCGCCTAAAAAATTGTCTCAACGACGATAGAAGTTATGACAACAATGGATGGGCCTGTGGGACGAGAAAGGAGAGTACCGACGTGGGAGGGGATGAGATGACAAGGTTGATTTGACGACAGGGGGAACTGAGGAGAAGATTTGATAGGCAGGTCTCGGGTTTGCTTACGTGGACACGACAACCATGATGATGCCTGGAAGCGGGTAGAGGCTGGCCTTGTAGGGGCGCGGCAGGTCAGGCAGGTCCCAGCGCAGCTTGATGAGCGATGCTCCCACGAGGCCATAGAACATCCATGCAGCGATGCCGAAATAGTCAATCAACTGAGTGGGTGAGGGCATTCGGAGTGCAGGAGAAAGGACCCAAATGAAGGAAATTGGAGAGCAGTGGGTACTTTCACCTTGAAGGCTCCAATGCACCAATGCACCTTGATGAGTGATGTACCCACGAGGCCGTAGCAATGCCAGAGTAGTCGATTAACTGGAGAGCTATTTAGAACCAGTGAAAATGAGAGGGCGAGAAGGGGAGGGAAGGAATCAAAGTGAAGGTTCGTGAGCTAGATAAATGTCTCGCAAGAGGACATGGAACATAATGGAAAAGCACACGTTGATTTATACAGATACTGTAGACGTATATGCCTTCAATTGCACACAGTGCTTACAAATATGTAGAATGTGATATACACGTGTATGTATAAATATTTTCTGCACTGTACACGTTTGTGCCTAAACTCTACCTTTTCAAGGTGGTTTGCCGCCACGAAAACCACAACCGCAATCCATCCACCCTGCGGTTTGGAATGGAAATTGCCGGAAACGGGAGAAAAGAATGTGAAACTTGAAAAGTTACCGATTTTTTTCAAAGGTAGGTGACGAATATTACGTATGACGGAACGAAATTCGACCTACTGATTACTGGGCAACGGTGGATGTTTTATAGGGGATTAGAGAGATGGAAACGCAGCCATCGGAAACATAACTAGACGCTGCATTTGTGCGGAGTAAGGTGGAAGTAGTATGCAAGTCGAAGGGTGTAGCATGAAGTATGCAAACTGGAATTTCCAGCTGTTAGGGTGACGGCAGCAGCGAGGGACGCAGAGAAGGATTACAGGGTGTTGAGCAGTGAGTTGTATAGGGTGTTGAGGGAGAGAGAAATAAGTCGCGCTTATGCTGAGGAAAAGTGTTTACAGTGGCAAGGAGTGAAGCGTAGCGTAGGGCGCTCCTCCGGTAGTGACCGCACTGGGGAATGAAGTGATTGAGTGAAGCTGGCTTGCATGGAAGCAAAGGTCTTACAGTGGCCAGGAGTGAAGCATAGGGCGCTCCTCCAGAGGTGACGGCACTGAGGAACGAGAAGAGCTGCCCATCCCTTGCCTTGGCATACTGTGTATGAGGGTAGAAAGGGAAAGCAACACAGAAACAATGCAAAAGGAAGTGTTCAAAGTGGCCAGGAGAGAAGCATAAGGTGCTCCTCCAGTAGTGACCGCACTGAGGAATGAGAAGAGCTGCCCGTTCCCTGCCTTGACGTACTGTATGTGGGTGGGTGTAAGGGACGGAGATAAGTACGCGGAGAGGGGAACGGACTGACCACATTCAGCCAGAGCCACATTTTTTTTTTTTTTTTTTTTTTTCCCCAAACCCATCAGATTCAACTTACAAAGAAGCGAGCATGGCACAGTAACCAGAGTGGCATTGGCGGCGCCCAGCACATTGAGAGCCACGAGAAAGGCTATGACTAAATCAGCTCTTTACACATGAGATGCGACTTACGAAGAAGCACGTGTGGCAGAGCAGAGTGGCGTTGGCAGCACCCAGCACGTTGAGAGCCACAAGAAACACTGCGTTTGAATCAGCTCTTTACAGTCACATGGTACTTACAAAGAAGCGAGCATGGCACAGCAGAGTGGCGTTGGCAGCGCCCAGCACGTTGAGGGCCACGAGAAACGCGATGAAGCGGCCCGAGGGAGGGCCGAACGCTGCCTCCACAGCTTCCACTGCCACAACCTCTGACTTGCCCACGGCTGAGGTTGGAATGCAGGGGGGAATAGGAAAGAGAGGTCATAGTGCTGAAGGCAATAAATCCGCCTGAGGGAGGGCCGAACACTGCCTCCACTGCCTCTACAGCTTCCACTGCCACAACCTCTGACTTGCCCACGGCTGAGGTTGGAATGCAGGGGGGAATAGGAAAGAGAGGTCATGGTGCTGAAGGCAATGAATCCGCCCGAGGGAGGGCCGAACACTGCCTCCACTGCCTCTACAGCTTCCACTGCCACAACCTCTGACTTGCCCACGGCTGAGGTTGGAATGCAGGGGGGAATAGGAAAGAGAGGTCATGGTGCTGAAGGCAATGAATCCGCCCGAGGGAGGGCCGAACACTGCCTCCACTGCCTCTACAGCTTCCACTGCCACAACCTCTGACTTGCCCACGGCTGAGGTTGGAATGCAGGGGGGAATAGGAAAGAGAGGTCATGGTGCTGAAGGCAATGAATCCGCCCGAGGGAGGGCCGAACACTGCCTCCACTGCCTCTACAGCTTCCACTGCCACAACCTCTGACTTGCCCACGGCTGAGGAGAGTGGGATGCGGAGGGGAGTAGAAAAGAAGAAGGGGAGGAAGGGGATGAAGGCCAAGATGAGGCCAGAGGAGGGCCAAACACTGCCTCTACTGCTACCGCTGGTGCTACTTTGAGAACTTTTGAGAATTCTCACAAGTGACACATGCATATTTAATAAGCGATGTTGGTGATGCTGTGCCAGCGTACCTGCCAGAGGAAGAATGCAGAAGTAGGCTGAGTTGACTGCAAGCTGATGATGCGGTTCAATGCGGTCGGTTGCGGTGCCATCCGATTCCACGCGGTTTTATGCAGAGTCACGTCACGCAAGGACAAAGGGAAGGAGCAAGCAATGGGAAGCAGGAGGAAGGAAGAACAAATGCATATTTGAGGACAGTAGTGGACTGGAATTGGGGGAGGTTGGTTGGTTGGTTTTTGTTGAGGTGACTTTTGAGTCGACTCAAAAGTCACAGGAGGAAGGAAGAACAAATGCATATTTGAGGATAGTAGTGGACTCGGGGGACTTTTGAGGCGCCTCAAAAGGAGCAAGCAATGGGAAGCAGGAAGGAAGAACAAATGCATATTTGAGGATAGTAGTGGAATTGGGGGAGGTTGGTTGGTTGGTTTTTTGTTGGTTGGCTGCGGATCACTGCACACACGTACACAACCCAACAAATGAAACAAGAGGTAAACTACTCGGCTGTGCATGAGTATGCGAGTGTAGTTGGTGCATGAACAAAGGAAAAGGACCACTCACTCACAGAACACCGCACACGGGAAATTAGATTCACCACTCACACATATGCCGACGGCAGTGAGCATGCCGAAGGACAAGGAACGAGGCAGGTCCCTCTTTGGGTTCTTCAGCTCCTCTGATAGGTATCCCAGGCAGTTCCTGATGATAGTGGTCAAGCGGCAAAAGGAGGAGTAGGTGGAGGTTGGATGCGGTTGAGATGGATGGAATGAGAGTTCCCTCTTTGGGTTCTTAAGCTCCTCTGATAGGTACCCCAGGCAATTCCTGGGGGACGGGTGGAGGGGGAGATGAACTGGGAGATGAACTGGGAGATGAACTGGGAGATGAACTGGGAGATGAACTGGGAGATGAACTGGGAGATGAACTGGGAGATGAACTGGGAGATGAACTGGGAGATGAACTGGGAGATGAACTGGGAGATGAACTGGGAGATGAACTGGGAGATGAACTGGGAGATGAACTGGGAGATGAACTGGGAGATGAACTGGGAGATGAACTGGGAGATGAACTGGGAGATGAACTGTGTTGTGTTTAAAGCCCACCCAATCACTCACTCACCAGCCGTCAAAGGCCCAGACGGCAGCCACCAAGCCTGCCCCGGCCCGACTCCAGTTGTAGCTGGAGAGGGGTGGGAGCGGCTGGGAGAAGTTTGCAGCGGCAACAGATGTGCCGTGGAGGGACATGAAGATGGGCGCACAGGCCACCACCGCTGCTATTAAGAGCGCCTTGGTGACTGTTAGTATGTTCTGCACCAACGCCCCTGCTTTTACTCCTGCAGTGCAAGAGGAGGAGAATGTGGAATTTGGAGGGGAGGAGGAGGGAAAGAAGTTTGTAGCCCGGGTACAGATGTGTTGTGGAGGGACATGAAGATGGGCGCACAGGCCACCACCGCTGCTATGAGCAGCGCCTTGGTGACTATTAGTATATTCTGCACCAATGCTCCAGCCTTCACTCCTGCGAGATTGAGTTGGGTTGTGTGGGGGGAGGAGAGGGAGGTGGAGAGTGATGAAGACGGGCGCACAGGCCACAACTGCCGCTATTAGGAGCGCCTTGGTGACTGTCGGTATGTTTTGCACCAATGCACCTGCTTTGAGACCTGCATTGATGCGGTAGGGGTGTGGGAGAGGAAAGGAGGAGGGAAGAGAGATGAAGATGGGAGCGCAGGCTACAACAGCTGCTATTAGGAGCGCCTTGGTGACTGTTAGGATATTTGCACCAACGCTCCTGCCTTCACTCCTGCGAGTTTGGGTTGGGGGTGTGAGGGGGGTGGGGGGAAGAGAGGAGGAGCGTGATGGAGCAACCAATGATATGGAGAGGGAGAAGAGAGGATGGCATATCGGAATGCAGCAAGGGAGTGCATGAGAGCAGGCACAAGTGGTGCGTACACGAGATAAAAGTAGTGTTTTGAGACGTCTCAAAAGTGGTGAGGGAGTAGGCACAAGTGGTGCGTACACGAGATAAAAGTAGTGTTTTGAGACGTCTCAAAAGTGGTGAGGGAGTAGGCACAAGTGGTGCGAACACGAGATAAAAGTAGTGTTTTGAGACGTCTCAAAAGTGGTGAGGGAGTAGGCACAAGTGGTGCGTACACGAGATAAAAGTAGTGTTTTGAGACGTCTCAAAAGTGGTGAGGGAGTAGGCTCAAGTGGTGCGTGCTCAAGCGCACATACTAGTGCGGTTGAAAGCGGTGAGGAGGAGTGTGAAGGAGCAGGCAGGCGAGAACGGAAGATAGGGAGGAGAGCAGTTAATACCGGTGGGTGGGAGCATACCGGTAACCGGATGACAAGGCACCTACCGGCACAGTTAATGGCCGTGAGGAGGAGAGTGAAGGAGCAGCCAATGATTCGCACGCCCAGCTCCATCTGCTCTTCGCTTGCACCCTCCATGCCCGGGAGCTGAGGATGTATGGGGAGCGAGAGCAGGGGTGCCAATGCAAAGAGTCAAGTGAAAGGCGACGTAGAGGCGGCTCACTGCAATTCTAGCTCCATCTGCTCCTCGCTCGCACCCTCCATGCCTGGGCCGGGAGCTGGAGGGTGGGGACAGGGGGAAGAGCAGGGTGGGGAAGAGCAGGGTGGGGAAGGGTGAAGGGTGAAGAGCAGGGTACAGAGGCAAAGAGTGAAGGGTGATGTAAAGGCGGCTCACTGCACTCCCAGCTCCATCTGCTCCTCGCTCGCACCCTCCATGGCCGGGAGCTGAGGAGGTATAGGGAGCGAGGAGAGGGGGTACCAAGGCAAGGAGTCAAGTGAAGGGTGATATAAAGGCGGCTCACTGCACTCCCAGCTCCATCTCCATCTCCTCCTCGCTTGCGCCCTGCATGCCTGGGAGCTGAGAGGGGGCACAGAGTGGGGGTGGGTGGCAGGAAGGGAAGTTGGTCCAGTGAAATGCAATGCGATGCAATGCGATGCAATGCGATGCAATGCGATGCAATGTGAAGTTGGTTCCTCACACAGCTCTCCCATCTCCATCTGCTCCTCCTCGCTTGCGCCCTGCATGGCTGGTTGCTGGGGGGAAAGGAGAGAAGCGAGAGGAGTCAGGAGGACGGGGAGAGAGATGAAGGAGGTGACTGGAATGATTGACTGAAAGGATGTGACTGAAAGGATGTGACTGCTAGGAGCTCACCAGGGCGATGGTGTATCGGGCGAATGTGACTATAAGGATGGCGATGCCTCCGCCAGTAGAGACAAAAAAGAACATCCACATGAAGACAAACGAGAGCAGGTCTCCGAACGCCAGCTGGATGTACTCCCCGTCGCCGCCAGCGTGCGGTATGGAGCTGCCCAGCTCAGCGTACACCTGCCACGTCAGCAGGACACGTCAGCATGACAACAAGCGAGAGAGTAATTATCCTCTCAATGCAGCAAGGAGTATGCGATGCACATGACTGTACATGCATGGCACGGACTCACAACGCAGCAGGAGTATGCTCTCACAACGCAGCAGGAGTAGGCAACCATGCCGGCGCAGAGATGGGGTGACTTTTGAGTCGACTCAAAAGTCACCTCGCAGCAGGAGTAGGCAACGATGCCGGCGCAGAGATGGGCGCGCAGAGCCACACGATGAGCGCAGAGATGGGCGCGCAGAGCCACACGATGAGCGCAGAGATGGGCGCGCAGAGCCACACGATGAGCGCAGAGATGGGCGCGCGCCCGGAGCCTACCCCGAGCAGTACTCACTCGCATCAAACACGTGCATGTGACTGCAACACACACATCCACGCGGGCCATTCACAAACCTCGCAACAGGAGTAGGCGACGATGCCGGCGCAGAGCCACACGATGAGCGCAGAGATGGCCGCGCCTCCGGAATCTAGGAGCACGACTCCTGGCGTGGCGAATATGCCGCTGCCCACCACCACTCCCAGCACCATGCTTCGCGGGAGGAGAAGGGACGCAGAGGAAATGGGGGGGAACTGGGGGAATGAGAAGCCAGCAGGTCAGCGCCAGGCGAAGCGAACAGAGCACCTTTGAGGAGCTTAAACATCAGACTTCTGAGGACTTTTGAGGCGCCTCAAAACTGGAGCCTAAAAAATCGACCCAGAAAGGCAGCCACTGGTTTCCTCGTCGCAGTCGTTCCAGCGATGAACGCACATTCCCACGCACCACACGTACGCCATCGACGACAGTCAGCCATGGTCTCAGGCGAGCACGAAAATTTACGTAATCCGTTACAAAAGCACTCGTCGAAGATCGTCACACAATGCCTCATCGCAGTCGTCACGCAATCACAGTGCCACGGCGGTCCGGGACCACACGCCGTCGACGACAGGCGGCGATTGCCTCAACGCTCGCTTTCCCCTCGCGTGCGAAATGAGAACCGCCGCAGCGCAGGAGGGGAGGAGAGCGGAGCCAAGTTCACCTCTTGTTAAAGCAGACGATGAAAACACGATAAGCGCAACGCCACGCGGCACCAGACGCCATCGACTTTTGAGGCGCCTAAAAAATTCACCTCTCGTTAAAGCAGACGATAAGAACACGATAAGCACAACGCCACGCACCAGACGCCATCGACGACATTCAGCGATCGCTTCAACCCTCGCTTCTCCCCGTGCCCGCCGCCACCGCCGCCTGCGGCTGCGCTCGCCGACTTTGCGCCGGAGCACTCCTTGCCGCCGGCGCGACAGGCGGTGGGGAGCAGCGGCGCGGCGAGAGCGGCCGCAGCGTCGTCGCCCGCCGCGGGAGGAATCAGCACGCAGGAGTGGCTCATGGCGTCACGCAGTTTTCCTTTTATTCACGGTGGATGTTCGAGTCGACTACTAGGAAATGGCGTTCTCAATGTTCTGACGTGAAATATTGCCGCAGGTTCTCGCGATGAGAGGTGGGAGGGCGAGTGAAGGGAGGTTACCGCGATACGCGAAAGTAATGCTGGTCAATAAGGCAGACGTAGGAAAATAATCGAAAAAGGCTTCAATGTTAATCCCTAAAGTCGTTTGGGGTGGAGTGGATTGACAAGGAGTCGAGGACTTGACGAAGCTGTCACCAGCGAAGTCAGATGCGTGGGGATGGAAGAAGTGCGACGAGATTTCAAATTGGCTTGTCGATGCAAATGCCACTAAACTCTCTAATACTGCAAGCTGGGGAAGAAATAGCAGCTAAAACATGTTGCAGAAACTGGCGAACGAGTAACGACGACGAGAATCCTAGATGGAGCATGTGGAAAACGGTTTGGTGGAACTGTGTGAGGTTTGGGTTATGGAGGTAGAGAGAGAAGAGGGGAGGGTGGGAGGCAGGGCGGGAGGGTTCTGGTTTGGTGGTAGTTGGATTGGGAATTCATTTTCTCAGACTGCTTCCGGTCGCAGCTGTCATCAGCGAAGTTCGACGGGCGAATTCACGAAACAATAGCGGTGGGGTTGTGCTGTGGTGTTAGCACCCGCTTATATAAGTGCGTTTTGTGGAAGAGCGAAGCAATTTCGAAAAAAAAAACTGCCAGGTATGGTCCGCCTTTACGACACATCTCCTACGAAGAGAGCGCCAAGTACTTTTGCTAGGTAGAGTGTGAGAATGATTCAGGTGGTTACACTGGCGACATCTCGTCAACCGAACCTCCAGGTGTGGTGGTGGAATCTGCTCTGCCCTAGCCCTGCTGCGAAGTGTGGCGGAATTCTGGTGAGCTCATTGGCTCACTACTTCGTTACTTGTGTTGCTGCAGGTCAACCCTGTCGTCAAGGCATGTGGAGGCGCCTACTGGATTATTCCACGAACCGCAAACCGCTGCCAAATGGGAGAACCAATAAGGACAGATGATCTCCCAGCGCGTTGCCCAATCTCGTGGCGAGTTGGGCTGACCTGGTTCCAGCGCTTCATCTGCCTTCCAGCGTGGAAAAGTTGGGATTGCAAGATCTTTGGAGCTAGTTCAAAGAAACACTCGATACAAAAGTAACACTGGCAGCTAAACAAATGTTTCTATGGTATTGATCGGATACCTAATGCCGCTCTAATGAAGATAAGCCCGAGTGGATAAGGTGGCTCGAATCGCATCCCTCAAAACCGCCAGACGTTGCGATGGTGTGATTGGTCAATCACTCTCGAACTTCGAGGTTCGTGGTCTGGTAACCTCGCACTGGGTTTGGTTTCCTTGGTTGGGTGTGTCAGCGAATCTTCGCAATAATCAGTTACCTGTCCTTCTCGTCATATCTCGCGTACAATTTTATCCACCTGTTTGCCTCTCCTGTAGTCGCACCCTCTCGCCGTCGCAAGGATGAGATCGCCAAACCTTAAAACCAGGGTCTCAAGTAAGCTAAGGAGCTGTCAACTGCTTTGCAGTTGAAGCTAGGTTACCTAGTTATTGCAGACGAAGTTCTTTCTGGTTGGTTTGGAAAATCAGCGTGCGACACACCCCGTCAGTGCCCCAGAAGCGATTGCATTTTAGGTTTGGTTTCGAACCAAGTTTCCAAGCCTAGAAGGTTCGGATACACCCAACGATTTGCGTTCGCTTCGCACCCCTCGCTTCTCCCCACTTCAAACCTTTCACCTCGCCAACCAATCACAGCCCAACTTTCAACAGCAACTGCAAAACACTCGTAGTACTTGAGACCCTGGCTTTAACCAAAAACATTTCTTCCCCCCTCGCCTCTTTTTACAGCTTCTGTTCAGACCAGACCAGTTAGCTGGGAGAGAATAAAAAACGTATTCTAGGTTGCTGGGTTATCTGCAAATGCGAAATTACTTGGTTTGCTAACGTCTATTATCTAGCATATGAGCCGCGGTTACTGGAGAGCGTGCATCGTGCTATGGCTTCGGGCCGAAATTCTCGCGGAGAACCCTCAGAGCATTCAGACGTACGCGTGCCGCTTATTCAGCCGCCCGTAAATTCCTCCACGAATGGCACGTCGACCGATAGCGTTGCGCCAAATTTTGCTTGTTTGCCGCGTATTGCGCCACCGAGTGACGTAGGCGTACTTAATTGCGATGAAGGCGGTGCGGGAAGGAAAGAGGATGTTTTACCTTCATATGAGGGCGAGATTGTTGGCCCGCACTCGCCGCGCGCGGGGTTGAAACGGTCGCTTACCGTCGTCGACGGAGTCAGGTGCGACTTAAATAAACTGATTCTCTAGTCGACTGAAAGATCGTTGGCCCGCACTCACCGCGCGCGTGGGTGAAACAGTTGCTTACCATCGTTGACGAAGTCAGTTGCGATTGTTTGTGTCACTTTTGAGAATTCTCAAACGTGATTTGCTGGCACGCAGTGCTTTGAGGATTGAATATATGGACTGTGATGGCCTGATGTGTGCTGCTCCGAAGTGTGAAAGGGGGTGTATAACACCTCGCTACCCACTGGGTCAAAACGAGATTGTTATTTGGCGCAGCGGAATGCCCTTCAAAACTAGCCCACAGGCGTTACAGGGGGTGCTGCTCTGACGTGTGGGTACTCGTCGTTTTGCCAAATGTCGGCAGCTTGATGCTCTCTGACTGACACGTCTCACAGAAGGCTTTTCGAGAGGCTATGATTCGAGAAGTCACTTATGAGAAAAATCAGAATCAATCTGCCATTTGACCCCTCTCCTCCTACCCGTATCCCCTCACCTACTACCCTCTCTATTTCCACAGCATGGTCCTGGGAGTGGTGGTGGGCAGCGGCATATTCGCCACGCCAGGCGTCGTTCTGCTGGACGCAAGTGGATCGCCTCTGCTGGCGCTGCTGCTCTGGCTGCTGGCGGGGATCGTGGGATACGCGTGCTGCGAGGTAAGCAAGGGGAGGGGGAGGTGGGGGAGGAGGGAGACACGGGTAAGTAAGTGTGCCGCTGCTGGCGCTGCTGCTCTGGCTGCTGGCGGGGATCGTGGGATATGCGTGCTGTGAGGTGAGAAGATGAGCAGGAGGGTGAGAGGGTAGAGGGGGGACCGGAGTTGGTAAAGGTGGCGCTGCTGCTGTGGCTGCTGGAGGGGATCGTGGGATACGCGTGCTGTGAGGTGAGGAGGTGGGAGGGGGAACTGGACGCAAGTGGGTCGCCGCTGCTGGCGCTGCTGCTGTGGCTGCTGGCGGGGGTCGTGGGGTATGCGTGTTGCGAGGTGAGAAGATGGAAAATTGCGGGGGAGATGGGGGAAAGGAAAAGGGGAAGGCAACGGGGAAGGAAAGTTGGGAAGGAGTTCACGCATGAGGAGAGGGGGACTTTCCTAGAATGAGGGGGGTATGAGGGTCAACAGCTCGATAGTTCTCGCGCTGCTGGCACTGCTGCTGTGGCTGCTGGCGGGTGTCGTGGGATATGCGTGCTGTGAGGTGAGAAGAAGGGGGAACGGGATGTTGTGAGGGGAGAAGGGGACGAGGGTCCACAGCCCGCTGCTGCTGGCGCTGCCGCTGTGGCTGCTGGCGGGTGTCGTGGGGTATGCGTGCTCTGAGAGGTAAGAAGGCGGAGACTTGAGAGAGGAGAGGAGGGGGGAGGGGGGGTCTAGATTTGAGGCGCCTCAAAACTGGCGGGTGTCGTGGGGTATGCGTGCTGTGAGAGGTAAGAAGAGTCGATTTTTGAGTCGACTAAAAAATCGACTCATCACACATGGGGTATGCGTGCGTGCTGTGAGAGGTAGACTTGAGAGAGGAGAGGAGAGAGGGGGGGGGGGGGGAGAGGTCTCTTGGCCCTTGAATCAAGGGTTGGGTGCGAGGAAGCTATGCGCACTCATTCTATTTCATTCCTTTCCACACTCACCATTCCTTTCCATTTCGTGCCATTCCTCTCTCTCTATGCAATGCAATGCAATGCAATGCAATGCAACCCAACCATCCATATCCATGCCATCAGGTGTTCACAGAGCATGGGAGTTCTGAACATGCATGGTCTTTCCATACCACCTTATTCCATTCCATTTCTCCCCACGCAATGCAATCCATCTACCCCTATCCATGCTATGCCATCAGGTGTATGCAGAGCTGGGGAGTTTTATCCCACATGCAGGCGGTGATGGGGAATACTTGCAGGTACCGCTACACTCAACCTCACAAAATTGAACTCAACGTTTAAAAGTGTGTGTGTGTGTGCTGTTCAAATCAAACACCAGTGCCGTGTCCTTTGACATAAAGCTTGAAAGGGTTTCCAGGCGCCTCAAAAGCCATGTCCTTTTACATAGAACTTGAAAGACCATTCCTTCTAATCTAACCCACCTCCTGTCCTGTCCTGTGTATGTAGTTATGTATGTCAGTCAAACTGGTGGATGTTCACGCATCCCTTTTTTCCTGACATCGATTCCCACGCCGAATCCGTCTCTGCCAGGTGGCGTAACATTCGCCCGATACGCCGTCGCTCTGGTGAGGGGAGAGGGTTGATGGTGAAGGGAGAGTGGTGGTGGTGGGTTTTCGGGTTTAGGCTTTACGGTTCTATTTGAACTACTCTCATAACATGCCTACCGTTCTCCTCTTCTTACTCCACTTCCTCCCTCCAGCTACCAGGCGCAGCAGCAGGCGGAGAGGAGGAGATGGAAGTGATGGTGATGGTGGTGGGAGGGGGGTGCGTGCTGCTGCTTACTCTCGTCAACTGCTGTGGTGAGTGTGAGTGAGTGAGTGAGTGAGTGAGTGAGTGTGAGTGAGTGAGTGAGTGAGTGAGTGGGCAGGCACTCTGTCAACAGAACTTCCTTTCTTGGCATAACCCCCTTCACATTACCCCTCTAATCCCAAAGACTTAAACTAGCACCTTCAACCAAAACCTTTTAAACCTTTAACCCGAAATTTGGAACCCATAACACAAAACCTTTGTATAATCAGCTCTTCCCAGCTCTCCTATGCAACCCTTTCCCTCTAAAAACACTCCTCCCTCCTTCCACTTGGTTTCCTCCCTCCTTCAACCCCCCAGGAGTTGAGGCAGGCACGTGGCTGCAGAATCTCCTCTCTCTCTCCAAGGCGCTCCTCATCGGCATCATCCTCACTTTCCCCCCTACCTTCCTTCTGCTGCATGGTCCCTCTGCTTCCACTCATCTTCTCCCCCCCTTCAGGCGTGGAGGCAGGCACGTGGCTGCAGAACCTCCTCTCTCTCTCCAAGGCGCTCCTCATCGGCATCATCCTCGCAGCCGCCCCGGCCTTCATCATCCTCCACGGCCCTGCCACTGCCACCGCCAACCTACTCCAACCACTGCCCCCACTTGACTCGCTTGACCTCAGCAGACTGGGCGCTGGGCTGGTGGCAGCTATATGGGCCTTCGATGGATGGTGAGTGGGGAAAGGGGACACAAAGGAGATGCTGCCATCATCCTCGCAGCCGCCCCGGCCTTCATGCTCCTCCACGGCTCTGCCACTGCGGCGGCCAATCTCCTGCAGCCGCTGCCCCCTCTGGAATCTCTTGACCTCAGCAGGCTGGGCGCTGGGCTGGTGGCAGCTATTTGGGCCTTTGACGGATGGTGAGTAGTAGGTGGTCACATTGGTTGCAAGTGAGGCTTTCACAAGTCCCACAGCCCCCGCCTGTCTTCATGCTCCTCCACGGCTCTGCCACTGCGGCCGCCAACCTCCTGCAACCGCCGCCCCCTCTGGAATCGCTAGACCTCAGCAGGCTGGGCGCTGGCCTCGTCGCGGCTATTTGGGCCTTCGATGGATGGTGAGTGGATCTGGTCTGGTCCGGTCTGGTCTGGTGGTCACTGGTACAGCTGCCAGCCATCCCAGGCCCCCCCTGGCCTTCATGCTCCTCCACGGCTCCGCCACTGCGGCCGCCAACCTGCTCCAGCCGCTCCCCCCGCTTGACCCGCTTGACTCGCTTGACCTCAGCAGACTGGGCGCTGGGCTCGTGGCAGCCATCTGGGCCTTCGATGGGTGGTGTGGTGAGTGAGTCAAGTGGATGGGTTGGTAGGTTGGTAGGGTGACAGATAGATCATAGACAGGCAGGCTGCCTTCCTCATGCTCCTCCACGGCTCTGCCACTGTGGCCGCCGACCTGCTCCAGCCGCCGCCCCCTTGGGAGGCGTTAGACTGCAGCAGGCTGGGCGCTGGGCTGGTGGCTGCCATCTGGGCCTTCGATGGATGGTGAGTGGGAGAGTAATGGGGTAAATTGGTGGTAACCAGGTTGTAACCAGAGATAGCAGTCGCATCCCAGCGCCTCGCTGCAGCAGGCTGGGCGCGGGGCTGGTGGCTGCTATGTGGGCCTTAGACGGGTGGTGATTGGGGAAGGGGACAGGACACTAAGATAGCTGCCACATTCAAACCAGCTTCCCCTGCCTTTCTGCTCCTCCACGGCCCTGCCTGCCACTGCTGCTAGCTGGGTCCGTGAGTGATAATGGGTGGATGGATGGGTGGATGGATGGGTGGATGGATGGGTGGATGGATGGGTGGATGGATGGGTGGATGGATGGGTGGATGGATGGGTGGATGGATGGGTGGATGGATGGGTGGATGGATGGGTGGTGATGAGCAGAGTGGTACGTGCAATGATAAGCGGTGCCCTTCTCCCCTCCCTCCCCAACCATCTCGCAGGAACTGCCTGGGATTTCTCTCAGAGGAGCTTAAGAATCCAAAGAGGGACCTGCCTCGCTCTCTTTCCATTGGCATGCTCATTGCTGTCGTCATCTGTGTGAGTGGTGGTACACTTGTATTGATGATGCCTGTATCGAGTATAATCGTATTGAACACTTGTGTAACTTGCATCTCGCATTGAATATGATGTTTTCCATGGGCATGCTGCTGCTGTCATCTGTGTGAGTAGTGACCCACAGAGTATGCTTATATTGGGTATACTTTTATCGAGTATGCATGTATTGATTACAATCCCACGAAAATTCACGTAGGTTTGTGCAAATTCACGTTCCTGAACCCACATCCCTACTGTTCAATCAATTCATGTTCTTTCATTTCCCCCAACACGCCTCCCGCCCACCTCCCCCACGCCTTGCCTTCTCCAATCATCCCTCGCCAGCTGTCTGCCAACGTGGCATATCTCTGCATCCTTCCCGCTCAAGGTGAGAGAGCGTGTGTCGTGCAGCGCTGTTTACTGCTATGTCACACCACCCTCTGAAATATTCAGGTGTAGCATTATGCATAGAAGCCACGTGTAGAAAGTAGGTTTTTGAGACGTCTCGAAAATCTACTTTCTACACGTCACCACCCTCTGAAATATCTATGTGTAGCATTATGGATAGATTATGTTTGTGGCATTGGTGTTCGGCCCGTTGGCAAGAATGCTGGTTGATTCAGAATAGTTCTGCTGTTCACACTAACCCCAAACCCTTCTATGCCTCCTCCTCATCTCCTACCTTCCCACTCTTGCAGCCATATCCTCATGAATTCCCGCTCAGGCTGCACTGCAGGAAGCCCCTCCTGAGGCATATCTCAGGTGGTCGGGGTGAATTCAGTGGCTCCGTCTCATGTACGGCCCGGCAGCAGGCAGGCAGGCTGGTGGCGCTGCTGGTGGCGCTGCTGGTGGCGCTGCTGGTGGCGCTGCTGGTGGCGCTGCTGGTGGCGCTGCTGGTGGCGCTGCTGGTGGCGCTGCTGGTGGCGCTGCTGGTGGCGCTGCTGGTGGCGCTGCTGGTGGCGCTGCTGGTGGCGCTGCTGGTGGCGCTGCTGGTGGCGCTGCTGGTGGCGCTGCTGGTGGCGCTGCTGGTGGCGCTGCTGGTGGCGCTGCTGGTGGCACCCTCGTTCCACTCACCTGCTCCCTATTGTTCACCTGGCTCCTCCCTTCCCCAATTTCATCCGAGCCATAGGCATATCCCAGGTGGTGGCGGTGGATTCAGTGGCGCTGGTGTTTGGTCCGGCAGCAGGCAGGCTGGCTGGTGGCGCTTCTGGTGGCTTCAAGTAGGTCGATTGCTCTCCACACCTCCTCTTGCTCTCCACACCTCCTCTTGCTCTCCACACCTCCTCTTGCTCTCCACACCTCCTCTTGCTCTCCACACCTCCTCTTGCTCTCCTCATCTCCTCTTCTGTCCCCCTTCTCTCTTCCTCAATCCCGATTCCCCAGCCATAGGCATATCCCGGGTGGTGGCGGTGGATTCAGTGGCGCTCGTGTTCGGCCCGGCAGCAGCAGGGAGGCTGGTGGCTTGAGTAGCTCTAGAAGACAAGAGGCTGCCATCAAGAAGCTCCCTTGTGACACCTGTCTCGTCCCTTGCTCTCCTCATCCCCGCCTTTCCCGTCCACCCATAGGCATATCCCAGGTGGTGGCGGTGGATTCAGTGGCGCTGGTGTTTGGCCCAGCAGCAGGCAGGCTGGTGGCTTCACGCAGCTCTCATATTCTCTCACCTGCTCCCTATCGCTCTCATCAATTCCTCCTTCCTCGTATGTCCACCCATAGGCATATCTCAGGCGGTGGCGGTGGATTCAGTGGCGCTGGTGTTCGGCCCGGCAGCGGGCAGGCTGGTGGCTGCAAGTAGCTCTCTTGTGTCTCTCATCTCATCTCCTCCATTCTCCTTGACCCCTCTCTTCCCCTTCCATCGAACATTCAGCCATAGGCATATCTCAGGCGGTGGCAGTGGATTCAGTGGCGCTCGTATTCGGCCCGGCAGCGGGCAGTCTGGTGGCGCTGCTGCTGGCTTCAAGTGGTTCTCTTGTTCCCCACACCTCTCTTGCTCTCCTCATCTCCTCTTCTGTCCCCCTTCTCTCTCCCTCAATCCCCAGCCATAGGCATATCCCAGGTGGTGGCGGTGGATTCAGTGGCGCTCGTGTTCGGCCCGGCAGCGGGGAGGCTGGTAGCGTTGCTGGTGGCGTTTAACGTGCTGGGATCAGCTAAAGGGACTCTGCTGTGCAATGCACGATACTTTGTGAGTCGCACGCACCACACAATGGGACACTACGTAATCATATGCACAAAGACATGTATATATAAATATGCATGCGTATAACGTGCATTAAGAAGTGCTCATCCAAATGGATTTTGCCTACCTTTTTGACTTACTTCCAAATTTCTACATTTCGCCTTCTTCCAGTGCGCGATGTCAGGAACAAATTACATCAAGTGCCCGCCCACCTGCTGCGTCCATTCGTGTGACATTGTAGCGAGTTGACTTTTGAGTCGACGTGTTTTGAGACGTCTCAAAACACGCCCACCTGCTGCGTCCATTCGTGTGACATAGTAGCGAGTTGACTTTTGAGTCGACTCAAAAGTCACCTCTTCCAGTGCGCAATGCCAGAAGAGGGTTTTTTAGTGGACTGAGTTATTTTAGTCGACTCAGTTTTTTGGTCGACCTAGTTTTAGAGTCGACTCAAAAACAGGAGTGTGTCACATCCATCTCTCGTTGCTTTGGGGCTGTCGCTTTCTTTTCGCTTACGTTTCTCTCCACTCCCCCCCGTCACCCCCCCTCCTCATCCCTTCCTGCCAACCTTCATCCAAAGTCTCCCTACATTCTCTACTTCACCCCTCGTTTCGCTCTTACAGTACGCCATGGCAAGAGAGGGATTCCTGCCTCAATTTTCTGAACCTGTCACTTTCTTGCCTCCACCAGTCATCACCGCACTTCACCCCTCTCTTCCTCACTCTGCCCGTTTTCCATTCTTACAGTACGCCATGGCAAGGGAGGTTCGCCTTCCCTGCTTCCTTGGGGCTGTCAACTTTTTTGCCTTTATCAATCCTCACACCTCACTTCACCGCACCCCACCTCACCCCACCCCTCCCTTCCTCCAGTACGCCATGGCAAGGGAGGGTCGCCTGCCTCGCTTCTCCTGCATGTTCACCATCTATCCTCACCTCACCTCACCTCACCTCACCTCACCTCATCCCACACCACCCCTCTCCATCCCACCCTTCATCACAGTACGCCATGGCAAGGGAGGGGCGCCTGCCTCGCTTCTTTGGGGCTGTCACCAGAGGCGGCGCTCCCTATGCTGCTCTCTGCCTCATAGTGAGTCCACGCTGCTCTCTGCCTCATAGTGAGTCCACGCTGCTCTCTGCCTCATAGTGAGTCCACGCTGCTCTCTGCCTCATAGTGAGTCCACGCTGCTCTCTGCCTCATAGTGAGTCCACGCTGCTCTCTGCCTCATAGTGAGTCCACGCTGCTCTCTGCCTCATAGTGAGTCCACGCTGCTCTCTGCCTCATAGTGAGTCCACGCTGCTCTCTGCCTCATAGTGAGTCCACGCTGCTCTCTGCCTCATAGTGAGTCCACGCTGCTCTCTGCCTCATAGTGAGTCCACGCTGCTCTCTGCCTCATAGTGAGTCCACGCTGCTCTCTGCCTCATAGTGAGTCCACGCAGCTCTCTGCCTCATAGTGAGTCCACGCTGCTCTCTGCCTCATAGTGAGTCCATGCTGCTCTCTGCCTCATAGTGAGTCCACGCTGCTCTCTGCCTCATAGTGAGTCCACGCTGCTCTCTGCCTTATAGTGAGTCCACGCTGCTCTCTGCCTCATAGTGAGTCCACGCAGCTCTCTGCCTCATAGTGAGTCCACGCTGCTCTCTGCCTCATAGTGAGTCCACGCTGCTCTCTGCCTCATAGTGAGTCCACGCTGCTCTCTGCCTCATAGTGAGTCCACGCTGCTCTCTGCCTCATAGCGAGTCCACGCTGCTCTCTGCCTCATAGTGAGTCCACGCTGCTCTCTGCCTCATAGTGAGTCCACGCTGCTCTCTGCCTCATAGTGAGTCCACGCTGCTCTCTGCCTCATAGTGAGTCCACGCTGCTCTCTGCCTCATAGTGAGTCCACGCTGCTCTCTGCCTCATAGTGAGTCCACGCAGCTCTCTGCCTCATAGTGAGTCCACGCTGCTCTCTGCCTCATAGTGAGTCCATGCTGCTCTCTGCCTCATAGTGAGTCCACGCTGCTCTCTGCCTCATAGTGAGTCCACGCTGCTCTCTGCCTTATAGTGAGTCCACGCTGCTCTCTGCCTCATAGTGAGTCCACGCAGCTCTCTGCCTCATAGTGAGTCCACGCTGCTCTCTGCCTCATAGTGAGTCCACGCTGCTCTCTGCCTCATAGTGAGTCCACGCTGCTCTCTGCCTCATAGTGAGTCCACGCTGCTCTCTGCCTCATAGCGAGTCCACGCTGCTCTCTGCCTCATAGTGAGTCCACGCTGCTCTCTGCCTCATAGTGAGTCCACGCTGCTCTCTGCCTTATAGTGAGTCCACGCTGCTCTCTGCCTCATAGTGAGTCCACGCAGCTCTCTGCCTCATAGTGAGTCCACGCTGCTCTCTGCCTCATAGTGAGTCCACGCTGCTCTCTGCCTCATAGTGAGTCCACGCTGCTCTCTGCCTCATAGCGAGTCCACGCTGCTCTCTGCCTCATAGTGAGTCCACGCTGCTCTCTGCCTCATAGTGAGTCCACGCTGCTCTCTGCCTCATAGTGAGTCCACGCTGCTCTCTGCCTCATAGTGAGTCCACGCTGCTCTCTGCCTCATAGTGAGTCCACGCTGCTCTCTGCCTCATAGTGAGTCCACGCTGCTCTCTGCCTCATAGTGAGTCCACGCTGCTCTCTGCCTCATAGTGAGTCCACGCTGCTCTCTGCCTCATAGTGAGTCCACGCTGCTCTCTGCCTCATAGTGAGTCCACGCTGCTCTCTGCCTTATAGTGAGTCTACTGCTCTGTGCCATACAGTGAGCCCACCACGTTTCTGCTCTGTGCCTTACAGTGAGCCCACCGCGTTTCTGCTCTGTGCTTTTTGGCCTGCGTACTCACAGGGAGTCGATTTTTGAGTCGACTCAAAAATCAACGTTTCTGCGTACGCACAGGGAGTCTGCTCTGTGCTTTTTTGCCTGCGTACTCACAGGGAGTCGATTTTTGAGTCGACTCAAAAATCAACGTTTCTGCGTACGCACAGGGAGTCTGCTCTGTGCTTTTTTGCCTGCGTACTCACAGGGAGTCTGGACTCACAGGGAGTCTGGAAAGCAAAACTTCTAAACTGTTCGTTTCTGCGCAAAAACCCTCCTGCACTCGTTTGTTGCCTGTCTGTTGTGAATCTCATCCTCGTACTTTCATCCGCCACCTTCCCTCTCACCATTCTTCTTTCCTTCTTTCCTCCCTCCCTCTCAACCTCCCACTCTGCACCCAGGGTGCGTGGACCATGGTGCTTCTCTTCTTTGCAGCCAATCAGCTTGAAAAGGTAATGAACTGCAGGCACAAGTGGTTGAAATGCATGCTGAGCGATTGCCATTACCAGTTAAGCTCGCTTTTGAGGCACCATGCTCCCAGGGTGCCTGGCCGTGTGTGATAAGTCGAGTTTTGAGTCGACTCGAAACTCGACTTATCATGAGGCACCATGCTCCTAGGGTGGATGGACCATGGTGCTTCTCTTCTTTGCAGCCAATCAGCTTGAAAAGGTAAGGAGTTGCAGCAACAAGTGATTAGCTAGCATGCACAAAGAACGGAACGCCATGTTCCCCGTGGCATGGCAATCCCACAGTAGTCTGAGGCTCCCCAATGGCCTTCATGTTCCGTATGCCCTTCATGTTCTGCTCAGCTTACCAAATAGTCTTCTCTGCTTCAGCATTCTCAGGTGGGCTTTCAGCGGAGCAGAAGCAGCGAGCACTACCAGACCCTTAACCTGTTTCTGATGCTTGTTCTCGTTTCCCATCCTCAGCTTCTATACGATTTTGGCATCGCCACATGGTTATTTCACGGGGCAGTGGCATGGCAGCAGCTCTCTTACCCCTAGCAGCTCTCTTTTTACACATGGCAGCAGCTCTCTTACCCCTATCTGATGTTCCCCTACGCCCTGCCTCGTTCCGTTTCTCTTTTCCAGACTATTTCGGCATCGCCACGTGGATATTTTACGGGAAGGTGGCAGCAGCACTCTTCAAGCTCTACAGCCCCACATATCTCCCTCCTATGCCCTCTGCATGCCTTTCCCTTCAGCTTCTCGACTACTTTGGCATCGCCACGTGGATATTCTACGGGGCAGTGGCAGCAGCTCTCTTCAAGCTCCGATGGGCCTTCCCCAACGGCCCGAGGCCGTATGAGGCTCGCTTCTGTAGAGTCGTCACAGCAACTGCAACTCTCACCTTGACCTGCGTGCATGTGTTTTCCTCCCACTGCTTCCCACGCACAGCTTCTCGACTACTTTGGCATCGCCACGTGGATATTCTACGGGGCAGTGGCTGCAGCTCTCTTCAAGCTCCGATGGGCCTTCCCCAACGGCCCGAGGCCGTACGAGGCTCGCTTCTACCCGCTCCCTCCTGTCATTGCTCTCGTTGCTGCCGTGTGAGTGTTGGTGTGTGTGTTGATGTGGGTGTGTGTTATGGGCCTATGAACACTCCTAGTGGGTCACGGCCGTACGAGGCTCGCTTCCACCCGCTCCCTCCTGTCATTGCTCTCGTTGCTGCTGTGTGAGTGTTGGTGTGTGTGTTGATGTGGGTGAGAGTTATGGGCCTATGAACACCCCTAGTGGGTCACGGCCATACGAGGCTCGCTTCTACCCGCTCCCTCCTGTCATTGCACTGGTTGCTACCGTTTGAGTGTGGGTGTGTGCATTGATGTGGGTGTGTGCTATAATCTTATGAAACCCCCTAACGGCCCGAGGCATATGAGGCCCGCTTCTACCCGCTCCCACCCGTCATTGCACTCGTCGCTGTTGTGAGTGTGCTCCGTTGCTGTTGTATGAGTGTGTACAAGTGTGTATTAACATCCTACCATCACTTTTTTTTTTTTTTTTTTTTTTTTCCGTTGCTGTGCGGTTGTGCTATTGACATTGCATGTATTCCCTTGATGTGTGCTTCACCATCCCGTGCAACCTTTTATTCAACCTTTGAATGGAATTATCATTGTGAACACAATTTGATTTACCGTATGATGCCTTCTCCTTTTCCCCATGCTTTGGTGCCTTTGAATGTGGCAGATTCCTTGTTATAACATCGCTATTCGCTCACCCAGTTCCTTCCATGGCGTCGCTCGCCTTCGTCTTTGCTGCATTCCCGTTGTACTATATTACCAAGTGGGTCCAAGGACATCAGCTTTCGTCCACCAATGCCCTGAAGCAGGGTCTGTTGCAATAAATTATGTTCTCATGTTTATGTTAATCCGTGGATATTTGTGTGTTTGTTCCCTTCGACTTCCCCATTATCCCTTGCCTTTCAAAAAACAACAATCTAAATTATTGATGTCCCATTGTCATCGCTTTGAATTACTGCAAACCGAGTGCGGTAGTATCGCGGATCCTTGAGTATTCGCTTTCTGGGCTTTGACAGTGACCAACCAACATCTGGCTGGCACATGTGTGATCCTCCACCGAACTCTTCTAATGCTCGACTTGACGGCACCACGAAGTACACTTCAGCTTGAAACTCTCCCCCCCACCACAACGCTCTGAATAAGAAAGAAACCGTTTTGCCCCGCAATAACTCCTACTCAACCGCGCATCTGATTGACCTGAAACTCCCCCGAATTCGCTAGAAACGCGGATGTTAATTTTGTAACAATCTAGTATCCTTTGAACTCCATTGTAGGAACGTCGGATGCAGTTCTCCGACGAGGCCTCGAAGATGAGTAGATGCGCGCTCGAACCATCTTCTGCGCGAATCTTTCTGTTGGCGGTTCCGGCCTTGAAGCCAGGGAGGCGAAGCGCGAAAAAGTCGAGCGCGCGTTGGCATCATCTGGAACTTTAGATTGTTCAGCGCTCAGCTCCTTATCCGGCGACGGTTGTACTGAGCTAAGTGCTGCCATCTTAGGAGACTCGGGAGGCCGCGATGTTCGCGAGCCATTTCGCGCAGATGAAGACCGACGAACCTGTGGATTCTCGTCGTCAAGCTGACTTGGAACAAACTCAGAAATAACCGTTGCGATTGGGATTGTGTCGTAACTCCTCCGCCGCCCCGGCCGAGGCGGCACCTCCGCGCCGCGTCTGCCTGGAACTGGCGTGCTGCCAACATTACCATTAGTGATGACTTCAGGGGGGCTGAAAGTAATATAATCGCCACTTCTGCGCGTACTATCAGTAGATGATGTCGTACCGCTGGGTGCGCTGCTGCTTCGAGTGAATCCGATCAAGGATTCTGTCGATGCGCAATTCTTCACTCCAGACACAATCGCAGCTTGCCATGTCAGATCTTGCCAACTGTTGTCGCCGTCTCCCCGCTTATACGATGCTTCGACTAAGTGGTATGTCACTCCGCGTCTCAACGGGCGGGAAGGGGGAAGCGGAACCGGCGCGAACGTGGAAAGCGCAACTTGGTGTCGCGGGAAGTCGCCCATGATGTCTGCGACGAGCAGGCTGCCTGCGACGTCGTCGTACAGACGCACGCTTCCGTCCGTCAAGACGACGATGACCGGATGCGAGGAACGTTCGGCAAAGCTCTTAGTCCGGCGAGAAAGCCTGGTTCTTGACATCTCAGTTGGCTTCCGCGAAGCGCCACGATCGGAGCTACCATTGTGACTGGGTTGCCGATCATAATCATGCAATAATGGATTATCATAAGTGGCGTCGGAACCGTTACAGTAACTGGAACCGCAAGGTACGTCTTTCCCCGTCTGCTCTCCAACCTTCTCCGCGCTTTTCATCTGCCTTAAAGCCAGTTTTCTTTCCTTCACACTGAGAGGCAGGCGGAGCTCGGGTGGGCTGCCAGTGCTCCCCGACGGTTGACTTTTCATACGCCGTAAAGCCTGCTTCATCTCCGTTATGCTGGGAGGCAAGCAGAGTTGCGGCGGGCTCCCGCTGGGTTTTGGAACGAAGGTCGCTGCTGACGCGGCTTGCTCGCCGTCGCGGCGGCTCTCGCAGCCGCTCATGCTTTGGGTGCGGCAATGGCGACGACGGCCGTTACTTGCGGCGCGACTCCCGGGAGTGATTTTGCGGTAGCTCTGACTGCGATCGAGGCGAGGGATGACGTCATCTTGAGTGCATGTCAAAGTCGGGCCTCGTACTTGTCGCGATTCCATGATTGCGGCGAAACTCACGGGGGTTGCGCTGGCAGGATGATACTATGGTATTGATGCACAAGGTCTGCTTCCTACGCTCCTCAGCAGAAATATGGACTCACGTAAAGAGCTCCATACTAACCATAGTTTTATCTTACTCAGCCAAGCTTGATTGTCAAATCGAATCGCGACGAAATCGGTCGATATGAGTTGATTGGCAACTTGTACGTTGGCCATTCTTGGCATGTACCACCGAATTTTGAAGGGCTAAAGGATGAGTGCTGTAGCGTATATTTGTCGCGACGCTACGGTTGTAAACCCGCGCCGCTCACGCTCTTCGCTGCGGTTAGATGGCGCCGACTATGGCCCAATCTCCCGCACCTTCTCTCGAACCCTCCTTAATCTCGACTCTCTCGTCGTATCCCTCCTGTGGGTGTTACTGCTCTAGAGGACGCCATACCACTACTTAGGACGACAACTGCATGGGAAAGACCATCTGCAGCAGAGCTGTTGGACAAGCGAGAAAGAACCAGATTACCAAGCGGCTCGCGAAAATCGTCAATACACTGTAACTTTGGCGAACAAGCAGCAGTCAATCTGCTGCAAGTGTGAGTGGGCGTGGGCGAAGCCAGCGTAGGGTAGCGAAGGATTTTCGCGAGCGGATATAAGTGTCACTTTGCGGATAGTGTGCTGCCTGTGGGCGGGTCGTCCTAGGATAAAATCGAAATCGTGAAATCCTGTCGTGACAGCTGGGAGCACACTGGGGAACATTGTCGAGGGAGCTTGACAATGAGATTCTATAATGGCTGCACTAGTGGTCATAGTCCGTGATATCAATGAGGAATATATAATGTGTAAATACTTAATCCCAACAAAAAACAGGAAAATTTATGCATTGATTCTTTAATCGGTTTTGAATGACTGTACCAGATTCAAACATTGTTATGAATGCATTAAATCGTATTTAAGAAGCCAATATCCTAATTTTGTTAGTGGTTGCTTACAAGCAAATGTCATCCTTTGCACAACGCAATACTTGATTTTGTTTAAAATATGGGAAATCTACAGCATCATGCCAATGCACAGCATGCTTTAGCTTGTGTTGCGAGAAATGCATACCGATAGAAGAAACGCACTCTGAAGTGGCAGATAAAAAGGAAACGTGACAAACGAGAACCAAGAGGCTTTGCAGGAAGGAGAACATAGTTGGGGACTGAACTTGGTCTAAAATAACTTGGACAGATTATTGCCCAAGCTGCTGCTGGAACTTCCAGAATTGAATCCCGACAATTCTTATGTATATTCTGTCCACATTCTCCCTGCATTTATTCATGCCCACATCTTCTGTTGTTGCTCAGCGCGCCATCTGCTGCCCTGTAGGCGGCACTTTACCCGCAGCCATGAAGCGGCGTGTGTTGCCCAGATAACCTAATAACGTAATTACGGAGAGAAGGTCGGGGAGGAGGAGAGGCATGGATAGAAGTGAAGGAAATTAGTGTGCTGCCAACATGGTGGGAGAGCGAGGAGAACCAAGGACTACCTGGATTTCGTCTACTGCATTTCAATCCTGCATTTCAATCCCTTCCAACCCACCTACACTACAGAGCCTCTACGTGGCACCGAGCTTAATCCGAAACTCACAGTACTCCCGGCAGGCAGCACACTGGAAGCAGAATAGATGCACGCAGCAGTCCCCAACGCAGTGCCTGAGCCTGTGACTTACCAAGCCTGGCTACAGCCTCGGACTTACCGAGCTTAGGCTCCCAGCCTCGGTTCTTGAGCTCGCGGTACTCCTGGCAGATGGCGCAGAGGAAGCAGAAGGTGTGCACACAGCAATCCCCACACGGCTTGGCCGGCAGCATGTACTTCTGCCTCAGCTTCGTGCGGAAGCCTGGGGGTGGTTTGGGGATAGCGAGATGGGCAACGGGAAATTGAATGTGTTTGAAAGAGCTCAGTAAACGTGGCTTGGCTGGCAGCATGGCATGTACTTCTGCCTCAGCTTCCTGTGGAAGCCTGGGGGAGGGTGAACGGGGGAGGAGGGTGAGACGCAGACCGCAGGGAAGACGGCTCATTGGGAGAAGGACGTTACGAGAAAATGCATCATTACAGCAAGGCACCCGATTTACCTCGTAACAGTCTGTTCCGTTAAGGGCAACAGGGCTTTACCGCAGGAGTAGAAGCAGCCCATGCCCACTAGAAGCTCAATGATGTACCAGAGGCAGCAGGCTGTGCCAGAGCACCCGATTTACCTTGTTGCAGTGTGCTTCGTTAAAGCCACAAGAGCTTACCGCAGGAATAGAAGCAGCCCATGCCGACTAAAAGCTCAATGATGTACCAGAGGCAACAGGCTGTGCCGGAGTCTGGTGGGGAAAAAGGCAACAGAAAAGGAGCAACAAATGCAGAGAAAAGAAGGGCAGGGCAGGGACAGAAAGGGGGCAGGGACAGAAAGGAGCAGGGAAGAGGTTGGTCTTGCATCATCTCAAGTGACAAGACAGACAGACGCGTCACGAAAAGCTCATTCAGCTACCAGAGGCAGCAGGCCGTGCCAGAGTCTGGTGGGCGAGAGAAGGGAACCAACAGGGAAGCAACAGGGAAGCAACAGGGAAGCAACAGGGAAGCAACAGGGAAGCAACAGGAAAGCAACAGGGAAGCAACAGGAAAGCAACAGGGAAGCAACAGGGAAGCAACAGGGAAGCAACAGGGAAGCAACAGGGAAGCAACAGGGAAGCAACAGGGAAGCAACAGGGAAGCAACAAGGAAGCAACAGGGAAGCCGAGGGAAAAGAACAGAGGAGGAGCAGTGAAAGAACAGCGAGGTCCAGGGAAGAGGTGACTTAGAGTAAACTCTAAAAGTAACCCACACAGACGAGAGCTTGATGATAAACGGAGTCAGAGGCAGCAGGCGGTGCTAGGGTCTGGTGCGCGAGGGAAGCAGCGGGGATTCCGGGTGGGTTTGGTATAAACGGAGGGGCGACTAACGAGAGCGAAAACAAATGGCGAACGGGAGTGCACGTAACTGCTGGCCAGATTCATTCGTTCATCTTGAGTCGGCTCAGAAGCACGTTACACTGACCACGTCTCGAAACCCGATTTCTAATGACGCCATTGCGGTAAGCGATTTACCTGTGAAGCCATCTGTTACGATTTCCGCGTTTCGGCCGACGATGACGCATGGGCACCAGAGCGCGCAGCAACCTGCAGGAAAAGGCCTCAGAGAAAGAATAAAGTAATTAAGAAAGAAGTGAGTAGGAAATAAAATCACAGAATAAAGGACCTGAAGCAGCAAAATATCCGATGATTTTATCAGCACGCAAGGGGAATTCTGATACGATTTAGAGATCGCCCAAGGCCCACCTAGCGTCGAGGTTCCTAGGCTCGTCGCGCGTCGAAGCATCAGGGAGCTTTAAGAAATGCATCACAGGACCCAGGGTTACTGAATAAGGGGCTTACACGAGCCGCAGTCCTCGGTGCAACCGCAGAGGCCGGTCGTCCACGCGCCCATGGGCATGGACGACGGAGCCATTACTAGGAACGAAGGTCCTTACCTGCACACAACAACCATGGATACTGGAATTAAGGGCTTACAGGTGCCGCAGTCCTCGGCGCAGCCGCAGAGGCCGGTCGTCCACGCGCCCATGGGCACGGAAGACGGAGGCGTCGCCATGGTTGACCCTGATTGACCTTGGTTGACTTTTTTGAGTCCTCTTGCGCTACACGCTGATTCCGAAGAGCGCAAGCTTTTTGAGCTTGACGGAGTCGTGTGATTGACTCGCAGCTGAAATGGCGTCTTGAGTTCCTATCGAAAATGAACAGACCACGTAGGTGTCTACCAGTTACTTTCGTCAAGAAAATGCTGCCGTAAATGAATATCTTATGCAGCTAGATTTAGCCTAAACCTATCACAAAAACAAAAACCAGAAAAAGAGGCAGGAGGGAAGATGAGGAGCTAAATCACGACAGATGTGGAGGCAGGAGGGCCGACTCTCAGGATGTGATTTCTCGCTGCTTACTGTGTCGTCCACTCCCCAGGTTTGAGTTCGAATTCCACCTGCCTTTCCACAAGCGCGGGCCGGAATGGGCAGATGAGGGAAACGCGGAGGCAGAGCTGAACGGGGGTTGGACGGGATGAGCTAGCTTCTAGACAGGGATTGGGTGGTAAGCTGTGTTGGGAAACGCGTTCCAAATGACAGATGAGGACTAAACGTGTTGGGATTGTCAAATCAACCTTGAATTTGTTCATCGGGTGTTTGGTTTGAATGTGCGCTTCGCTTCCCAAAGACACGAGGAATGAGGATGGCCGCTTCCTTTCGCACGGCGCAACGACTTCGTTGTGGGACTCGGGGAAGGGTTGGGTGGACGGAGTTTGTACACCAGCGCTGCTTCCCCCGGCGCCCCCGCACGCCTCCCCTACCCTTCCCCCTTTCGGCCATTATCTCCGATACTCAAATTTCTCCTTAGCGCGTTCTCAGGTGTAATCAACCTGGACTTCCTCAACGTTGATTGGTCATCGCTTTTTTGTCACATTTTTTTTGCTGGTCGAACTTTTTAGGAAGTGACAAAAACAGAACCGTCCAGTTTACCCTCTTGACTTGGATATAAGTACGGAAATTTGGGTATTACAAGAATGAAACCCATATAATTCACTGGGTAGCACTCGGTAGCGCAACCGACCGCTAAAAAATGCTACCGAAAACACTAGACGATGCTACCGAGAACTACTAGGGCAGGCAGAAAAAAATAAAACCCCTAGGGAACCCAGACGCAGTTTCGAGAGGGGCCAACCCTGAACACGAAAAGGGCATTGTTTTTAGGGTTGATGCCTCCCGAGTCGCATCCCTTTCCGATTGGGTTTTATTTCCTTTGTCAAGTGGGTTGCAACATGTTTTCCAAAATACTGGGCGGCTTTTCGTATTTAGGGTAAATTTCTAGCTCGTGTCTGACATCAGGTCATCGGCGAAGTGAATGTTTGGAAGACCCAAAGTGGCTTGAAATATGGGCAAATCAACATTTGGAGGGACAAATCAGAGACTACCGGGACGATGGCCTGATGTCAGACACGAGCTAGGAATGAACCCGTAGGGTTGATCCTTCCCAGATTTCATCTAGGTTCGCTACAAGTTATACATATAGTTTTTGTTTAGGACTGTATAAAAATGCAACCAGAATAGCTTTACACTATATCGCGAAACCGTTTTTCTGTTGGTGATTACACCTGAGAACGCGCTGAGGCAAAATTTGAGTATCGGAGATAATGGCCGTTCTCCCTTTCCCCCTTTCATTCTCGCCACCTTGCGCCCCAATAATGGTTGGGTGGAGCAGAGCAGATACTGTACAGCAAGGAGGTCCGAGCCGCGCTGTCCACCTCAACAGAGGGCAAGGTGGAATTATTGGTGCCCAAGCTTGCCGCAATGTGCGGCGCAGGGAGGCGAAACGAAAACCAGGCAGAGGTCTTCGCGATTATGGCAACAATTGTTCAACGACGAAGTTCGTTACAATCGAACCGTTTCACAAATATAAGCTCGTTATATCCTTTACCTTACACCACCACTATAGTCTCACATCGCACATGTAAATATATCAACAAGCAGTGATGGATCATGGCTTACTGCATTCACCGCTATAAACCGGCTTTTATATCTTGTAGTGATGCACGAGACGTACACCTCATAAACTGTGATGTATAAACACACGAGGTGATTTGGTACGGAATGGTTGTGGAACAAAACGTGTGTGCACCCTATGACTTATCGAGTCCACCGAGGAAACCAGGAGAATCCTCAGCTGATGAACCAAAAGGAAGTGGTAAGGAGTCCGGAAGTGAGAAGTCAACGGCCTTGGAGAGCTGAGGTTGAAACTGGAACTCCGACATTGCCTGCAACCACACCAACGGGAAACCAATAGAGAAGCATTCACACTTCCGGTTTAAATAATGGGACGTTCATAACCAGACCATCCAACTGCACTTCCCTGCACATAACTGAAGCGCAGGTAAAATCATTGTGAGAGCGTTCAAACTGTCAAGACGGGCATCAAATGCCTTTCTCAAGCAATGCAATAAGTCAAAACGGACAATCCTCTCTCATTTCACGAAGGGAACGAGTGCATGTTACAGCAGCTTCAAGCACAGCTCTGCAGAGGTGCTTGCTCCATGCGTGTGCTCAGCTCCAGGCCCCTCCCCCTTAAAAGAGCCTCGAAAACAGACCTGAAACAAGGGAGTGAGTGGCTGCTGCAGCAACTCAAAGCACTGCTCTGCAGTGGTCGTGAGATCTGACTGAATGCATGTGCACTGCTCCAGATACTCGTTTTCCATGCGCCCCTCACAAGCAGACCTGTACTTACCAAGGGAGTGAGTGGCTGCTGCAGCAGCTCAAGGCACCGCTCTGCAGTGGTCGTGGCTGCATGCGAGAGTAACACTCTGGGTTCCTCTCCTGCCTCTTCCACTCCCAGGTTTTTCCCTCCCGCAGAGGCGGCGTCTTGCAGATTGAGCGAGCTGCTGTTTGCAGAGGGTGTATTCGCACAGGTGGATGAGCAAAACGAGATTTGGGCGAGCAACATGCATGGAGCAACAAAGGCAACTAGGCAACAATAGGGTTCGAGTCGAGATGCAAGAACGGCGAGGGTCAGATGCAAGAACGGCGAGGGTCAGATGCAAGAACGGCGAGGGTCAGATGCAATAACGGCGAGGGACAGATGCATGGATGGAATATTCAGCGCGAGCAGCAGCTTCGTCAAGAGCCATTATTTGAGGTGCCTCGCAAGTAGCCAAGACTCACATGGGCCAAGACTCACATGGGCCAAGCGGAGGACCAGATGCAGTATATCTTACTCGTGGCTTTGATCCTTGTTGCAGGCAGTTCCCCCCCTCCCACCCCCACCCCCACCCCCCGTTTTTTTTTAGGCGGCTCAAATATTCACCCACGGATTTGGTAGTCCTTGTTGTTGCAGGCAGTTTGTTGATGGTTGTTGAGAATTACATAAAAGCCGCCTGCTTTTGCTTCTCAACGGCTTGCTGTTGAGAACTCTCAAAAGCGTCTTAATGGCCTGCTGCTCGTGAATATATATATATATATATATTTATTTTTTGTGGTTTTCGGGCTCCTCAAAGATCTGCTTTCTGCTTGGGAAAGTGTCGATGAGAATTCTCGAAGGGAAAATCTGATGCTCTTTTGGTTCCTCTGGAGGCGAAACCAGCAGTTCCCCTTTGTCTCTTCCGCTTCTCAACCACTCACTGATCACGGTGAGTGAGTGTTATGCTGTTGAGTGAGAATTGCTTTTGAGGCGCCTCGAAAATCTTCCGCTTCTCAACGACTCAATGCTCACGGCGAGCGAGTAATATGCCCATGGTTATGGCCCTTGTTCTTGCAAGCCTTTTCTGTTAGTATTCTCAGAAACCGTGTGCGTTTAAGCCTCTCAACAACCTCCCGCTCGCCGGATTTTTCAGGTGACAAACTGCTGAAACAGCGTCGTACCCATGTGTAGAGGCCGGTGGAAGCAGGAAACAAGTATTTCTCTAGGGGCCTAAGAACGACGTGACTTTTGAGTCGACTTAAAAGTCACCACGTACCTATGTGGTGTGGCTGTTGGCGGCAGGGAACAAGTTTTCTTCTGGGCGCTCATAAACAACAACTGCTGCAACTTACCCATGAGATGTAGCAGGCAACAAGTCATTGAGAAGCATCACACCCCCAGGAGGGGTCGGTTGAAACACCTCTCTTCCCACTCCTCCTTCACCCAATAAAAACACCCCTCCTAAGGCTCCCTCTCCTGCCCCGTCTCCACCCGACGCCCGAGCCATAGGAGCAGCAGCGGAAACCCCTGTCACAACGGAATCTCTTCCAGCACTGGGAATCCCTGCAGCAGCGTCAGAGGAGGCTGCAAAGAAAGCAGCCAGTTGGAGAGCAGCCAGAAACCCCCTCGGATCCCCCACACTGCTGTCCGCTCCAGATGTGCTTTCCCCTTCAATATATTCACCAGCAAGTGGTTCAGCAGAGGAAGAAGTGCTTGTATATGAATTTTCGGAAGCTAGGGAGGCCGGGGGTGCGGGCGGTGCGGGAAGCCGCTGCCCTGGAAGGTCCTGGGAAGCGTTCGCGGATTGTGCAATGCTGGTAGTGGCAGCTTTGCTAGCATTTGTAGCTCTGGTTGCTCTGGTAGCTCCGGGTGAAGCAGTTTCTGCTTCCAGCAGGAGTGGCACTGTGGCAGGAAAGAGAAGACTGCAGGAAGAGCCTGCAGTTGTGAGGCTTGGATTGTTGACATAAGGTTGAGTGGTCAGTCTTGTTGACTTGGTTGTTGCAGTTGGAATTGGCAGAGATGCAGGGGATTTGATGTGGACTTGTGCCCTGGTGGAAAGGAGAGAATCCACCTGCTTCTGTCCCAGTGAATAAGGAAGGAGGGATGGTGAACAGAGAGGAAATAGAAGGGACATGTGAGAAGCAGGAGATTTGATGTGGACTGGTGCCCTGGTGGAGAGGAGAGGATCCACCTGCTTCTGTCACAGCACAAGGCAACAGAGGGATGGCGAACAAGAGAAGGGTACATGTGAGAATAGGTATGGGGGAGTAAATGTGGGACAGGTGCTATGGTGGTGAGACTGGGACCTGCCTGTTTCTGTCCTCACAAATGGCAGCATTGTGGCAGACGCTTTTTGGAATGATTATATTAAGTAAAGCCTGGTAAACAGAAGATTAAACACAGGTGGAATGGGGAGCAAGCAAGGCATGTTCACAGCGGGAAGAAACAACAACAAAAATAAAAAAATCAGAACAGAACAGTATTTAAATAAATAAATAAATTAATTAAGGAAAAAAAGGGAAAGGCATAAATTTGGGGGTAAACTAGTGAAACACTGGATGGGCTCGGTAGCCTATACACTGGACGCAGTAAACTAGAAGCTTGGAAGGAGTGTAAGTGGATGCATGCAAAGGAAAAGGTTTCGGCAACGGATGAGTTTTGCCTGGGAAAGAGCGTCAACATTCTATACGAAGCAAAAACATGTCACTCAACTGGAGATGCTAGTTGGAACATGGTAATTTATTGATTCGCTTACGCTTGCGGTTACGACTCTCGTGCTGATGTCAGCAACCAGCTTTGCCTCATCCTCGACCTTCAAAGGGAAACAAAGAACAAATGCGAGAAAGAAAGCATGTAAGTCACAATAGCAGAAAACTATCAACGACCGCAGTTTGTTGTTCCTGGTTTTGAGGTGCTTCAGAACTTAAATCATTTCACACCATGGCCGAACATTGTTTCTGAAATTGCAACTCTTTTTGTTCATGTCATGTCACCAAACAGCTTTGCCATCAGTGCAAATCGAAATTACGAAATAAAAAATGAAACAGGTGCCAAAAAAAAGGACAGAAATAGGAGATTTAGACAGAGATGAGAAGAGAACACGTTAAGAATTATAAGGGGAAGCAGCAAGGAGGGGACAGGGGCTCGGGAAAGTAACACTGAGAAGGTTAACAGATCCAAATCGCTGAACAAAACCTCAGCTGCACTCCTTGCAATTGGCCAATGCAGCCTTCTGACACTTGCTGCATGACAAGACGCGATGGAATGCACAGTCGGGACTAGGGCGAGAGATACTTTATTACAGGCTACATGAGTGTACCCGCTGCTGCACCCTAAGTTGGATCTTACGTTTACGGTTCCTTACGTTTTCGTAAAATTACGACAATTTTTACGTTTACGAACGGTGGCCCTGATTCGGCCTTACGTTTACGGTCACCTCAAAACTTTTTTGAGCTGCCCAAGGGAAAAGAAATGACCAGAGTATTAGGGGGATTCATTGGGTAAACCATGAATCTGAATTCTCGATTCAGATCCAAGTTCGACAAGGGTGGTGTCAACCTAGCAGCTCGTTCGTAATCTATCGTGTTTCTCTCCTACTAACCAGGTCAACGCTGAATCTGAAACTTTCACGGACTCAAAAGGCCCTCCATACGTAGTAAAGTCGCTATTCTAGAAAAACACACGTCGGATTAGTAGTAAGGATCTAGTACACGTACATAATCCTGGAAAAAAAATCTCTAAACTTTTTTTTCCTGCCCGCCTCATACTTACGCGTAATTTACGTTTTCGTTTACGTTTACGCGAAATTTACGTTTACGTGACCTCCAAAAACGTAAGAGCCCAACTTAGGCTGCACCCCCTGCAGCACGGCTTCTGACACTTGCTGCACGAAGAGGAGTGAGTGGAATGAAATCTAGGAACGAAGAAGGGAGAAAGTGTATCTGCTACAGGCTACATGAACGCACCCTCTGATGTACTCGTTGCAGCACGGCTTCTGACACTTGCTGCAGGAGAAGGAGCGAGTGGAACGAAATCTAGGAACGAACAAGGGAGAATGTCGATCTCCAACAGGTAACAGAAACTTACCCTCTGCTGCACTCGTTGCAGCACAGCTTCTGACACTTGCTGCAGGAGGAGGAGCGAGTGATGGATATGGCGATACGTGTCATCACGTGATAGGCCGGACGGTACCACTGCAAGGGCGAGAACAAAAGGGGAATGTATCAAACAATGGCATGGGATGCTACAATGAAAGAGAGAAACGAGCAGGATTGGAAGTTCAGGAGGAATTCAACAAGGATAGCTGCAGAGAGAAGCTAGACCAGCAGCTAGATGTTAAAAGAAATCTCAAAACAGGTAAGCAAGCAACCCGAGAAAAGCAACTTGAATAGCCAATCTTGGATTCGTGAAGCAATGTGAAGGTCGTGTGAGATGAGAGGATTGTCAGCGGTAAGCTACAGGAATAGAACGCGGTTCAGTGGCGTGCAGTGCGGTTCAGTGACATGCAAGTGCTTCATTACTGATAGAATGCCTCATATTCACACCCGCCCGCCCCGATGGCGACTGCTTTGTTTGTGAAAGAGCAGATCTAACGGTCATTTGAGTATCAGTCAGTGCTGCTTCATTGAGAGAATGTGTCGTCTCGCATTCACACCCGCAGCGAGTACACGCTAACGGGATCGCGAGACTTGAAGCTTACACGGAATATCAACGATTCGGTTGCTCATGGTCGCTGAGAAACACGGAAGAATCCACGTCCTTTAATCACTGTCCTTTTACCAGGAAATCACTGCCCGTTCGCCAGAGAACCACTGGCCGTTCAGGCAGAAGCATGCAAAAATCCACGTTCTCCAATCTCTGACCGTTCACCAATAAAATCAGACTCCGAACGCATGTGAGATGTCTCCGTGCGATGTTATCAGCGACCTTGGCACATGTGGAAGCGAATCTTAAGGCTTCTCTGGCATGAGAAGATCCCTAACGGGAAGCACAGGAGCGTTTTTCAGTTCCCGTGACAGTAACTGCTCTCTCTGCTGCACTCGCTGCTATGCTACTCTACACTCGCGCGATGCACTCCCCTGCGAGTAGAGAGACGCGTTTGGTGGAGCGCCAAGGTCACCCTCTTGCCTCACCCTGCCTACTGCCCTCCGCCTGGTGCGTCGGCCACAGAACCAGCAGTCACAACTAATGTTGTGAGGAAAGAGCCACACCACTGTGCCAACAGAAATCCTCGCAAAGAAGAAACCCAGCAATGTCTTATTACGACTACACAGAAGTGGTAAAATTAAGGAAACATCTATGGGCTCGTTCCGTTTTAATATATATGTGAAGGCTGAAATTGGGAATACACAATGCTAGTAGCAAAGTTTACATTAGAAACTGTTTTGAATTTGTTACAATCTGAAGTGAGACTTAGTGAAAGGATCGTTCAGGGTTGATCGCGGGTTGTGTCGCAGCGGAAGTATTGAACTCAGGTCAGAGTGAATGTAAATGACTGAGATTGATAATAGCATGCATACATTGGGTTTATATAGGAATACAAAGGGATGCGAAACGACCTAGACTAGTCATGTACTCTAAGGGGTACATTCCCTTATTGTAGCGAAATTAAAAAAACCGTGCGGTGCGGGAATCGGTTTCAAAACCCGTTCCCACTCACTTTATTTCAGATGCTTCTTCTCGCATCACCCTTAGTCAGACGGTTGCTGTGTCGCTTCGATTCTTCTGACTCCTCGACTTCGTACTCGGTAGAGTCGGCTCCTGCAGCATACAGGAATGCCTTCTCATAAAACTTCGTATCGTAACACTCCCCTTCATTCCTGGACGCGTAGGGTGCTGATTCGCTTGACCACTCCGTGTGAAACGTCGAGTGAAAAATTGACTAAGGAAGAAATGTCGAGAGTACAAACCCTAAGGAAACAACCCCCTAGAGTCAACCCCACTAAGCCTAACAAATAACTCTAACATATAAATATATGTTTGACACACCCCCATAGGCAAAGTGGGGGAGAACAAGGGGTCACAAGACCAGTCAAGCAAAGTAAACAAGCTCAGGGTGGATCACAACGTCACCACACATTCCGAGCACAAGTTCAAGGCCACAAGGCCAGTTCACATGCAGGATCATATATATGAAGGTAAGCAAACAAGTACAGGTATATATAGATCACAGTACAAGCAAGGTCAAGAGGTGAGCAAGTGAGGCCAGGTAGGCACAAGACCTAACATCGTACAGAAGCGCTGATGATCACAAGGCTGAAGTGCCTTGGTAAAGATATCAGCAGTGTTGGCCCGAGAGGCCACGTAAGCAAGGCGCAGCTGACCACGCTGCTGCAGCTCACGAGCAAGAAAGTAGCGGAGAGCAACGTGCTTCGTTCTGTGCTCCAGTCTGTGCTCCCGACACAAGGCCAGCATGGCCTTGTTGTCTACGTACAGAACTGGAGGAGAACGAGGCTGCTCTCCCAGGTCGGTCAGCAGGTAGGTGAGCCAGCGTAACTCCTGTGCAGCCATGGCCCCTGCGTAGATCTCAGCCTCACAGCTGGAGCCGAGAACAGAAGACGAGCGGGTAGACCGCCACGAAACAGAGCCGGAACCAAGGCTGAAGGTGTAACCCTGTGACGACCGCTGAGTAGCCTGGTCGTCAACCCAAGACGCGTCTGCGTGACCAGTGAGGACCACTGAACTCCGCCCTCCAAGCACTAGCCCCATGCCCGACGTACTGCACAAGTAGCGCAACACCCTCTTAGCTGCATCCATGTGCTCTGGTCGGTGTCTCCAAGGAGCAACATAGCGCGCCAAGATGCTAAGAGGGTATGCGAGGTCAGGTCGAGTGCAGGTCATCAGGTACATGAGGCAGCCAACAAGCTCTGGGTACGGGCCACTCGGCTCTAAGGACTCATCCGAAGGCAGAGCTGAGAGCGAGTGGCGAGTAGGCAGAGGAGTGGCCTGAGGCGAGGAGTACGTGAAGCCGAAGCGCTGAAGGACCTGCTGCACCATATGTGACTGAGTCAGAGTAATGGTGCGGCGTGCTCTGTCCCGGGTGATCTGCAAGCCAAGATAGCTGCGCAGTTCACCCAGGTCAGTGCACGTGTGTCTCTTCTGCAGCTCGGACTTCACGTGGGCGAGTCCAGCAGTGTCAGCAGTGGCAAAGACCAAGTCGTTGACGTACACGAGGATGTAGAACGGCGGCAGCGAGGTGTCGGTGCGCAGAAACAGCGACGGGTTGGCAGTAGAAGGAGCAAACCCAAGAGCCGCAAGTGTAGTCCTCAGTGTGTCGTGCCACTCACGGGGCGCCTGGCGGAGACCGTAGACTGGCCGCCGGAGGCTCCACTGGGTGCCAGGAGGAAAAGACCCAGTGAAGCCAGGAGGGCGGCGCAGCCAGATCTCCTCATGCAGGCTGCCCTGCAGGAAAGCAGTGCTGAAGTCGAAAGAGTGGAGCTCGTAGTCGCGCTGAGCGGCTATGTGCAGCAGCACCCAAAGAGGGAGAGAAGGTCTGAAAGTAGTCAACCCCCTGCCGCTGAATGAAGCCCCTAGCCACGTAGCGCGCCTTGAAGACAGGCGGAGAACCCGGCGGCCGCTTCACCCTGTAGATCCACATGCCACTGACGATGTTCGCCCCAGGTGGGGGAACCTCGTCAACGTAGGTGCCTGTGGACTTCCAGGAAGCCATCTCTGCGTCCATGGCTGTCTGCCACTGAGAGGAGTAGGGACCCTCGATCGCCTCGGCTTACGATCGAGGAGTCGGGATGTCTGGTGCATCCGGGTCTCCCTCAGGGGCAATCAGCATGGACACGAGATGAGGCAAAGCAGCAGCAAAACACTGGAACTCCTCCTGCCTGTCCTCAAGGACGTCCGTGCCAAGGGCACACTCACCCCCGACGGACGGAGGACAGACAGACTCAGACTCAGCAACGAGACTAGCAGCGTAGTCTAGACGACAGCGAGCAGCGAAGTCGACAAGCTCAGCAACTAGGGCAGACGCAGCAGTGGACTCAAAAGAAGGGTCAGTGACAGCAGTGGCTAGGAGACGCGTGACAGTCGGACTGGCAGCACGCAGAGAGTCAGACTCCGGGTCAGCAAGGGCAGGAAGCGAGGACGCAGGAGGAGACGGCAGAGGGACACGCTGTGGAGCAGTGGAGGGACGCAGTGCCATCTGGTGCGTGCCTGGGACCGCGGGAGGACGCTGACGCGGAACACGGCGACCGGTGCGAACAGCACAAACAGGCGACGTAGGACGCGACGCAGGCTCACGACGCTCAGCAAGACCTCCAGTAGGACCAGCGTAGGGTGAAGGGGCAGGCAGGGGACCGGCAAGCTGTAACTGTGACTCGGAGGGGACCGGCTGTGGACACTCTAAGGCAGGAGAAGGACCAGAGGAAGGCGGAAGGCCAAGAACCTGCTGAAGGAGGGGAACGAAGTACGGCCGAGGCCGCGCAGCACCTCCAGAAGGAGCAGGGACAGCACCAGCACCCTCAGCTGCAGGTCCAACTCCAGTAGGACCTGTAGCAGCACTAGTAGCGCCAACTCCAGCACCCCCAGGAGCACCGGCTCCAGCAGCACCACCAGCTCCCGAACCTCCAGCAGCACCAGCGCCAGGAAGACCACCAGGTGACCCAGCAGCACCGGCTCCTGTACCTCCAGCAGCACCAACCCCAGCAGCACCACCAGCTCCAGCTCCCGAAGAACCACTAGGCCCAGCAGCTCCAGGACCTCCAGTACGAGCACCTCCGGCACCTGTGACTCCAGCACCCTCAGCAGCAGTAGAACCTCCAGTACCCGCAGCGACACCAGCCCCAGCAGCACGACTCCAACGCCGAGCAAACCACTCACGCAGCTCCAGTGGAGAGAGGAGCTCCCTCCTAGGCGAAGCACCCGAAGAACCTCCAGGCTCCGCACCCCCAGGCTCCGCACCCCCAGACTCAGCACCCTCAGGCTCAGCACCCCCAGGCTCAGCACCCCCAGGCCCAGCACCCCCAGGCTCAGCACCCCCAGACTCCGCACACACAGGCTCAGCACCTCCAGACCCGGCACCCGCAGGCGCAGCAAACCCCTCGTGCGAGGCCGCCACACGGCTCCCCAGTGCGGTCACCAGTACGCAGGACGTAGGCACAGGGACCAGGACCCCCAGGGCGCTGGCGCGCAGCGTACCACTCACGAAGCTGCTGGGACGACGGGGTCTCACGAGAGCGCTGCTGCTGCTGCTGCTGGTGCTGACCACCACCCCGACCAGCTCCACCCCCGCCGCCTCCGCCGCCCCCGCCTCCACCTCCACTGCCGCCTCCGCCTCCTCCACCCGCACCGCCGCCACCGCCGCCTCCACCTCCACTGCCACCACCGCCGCCCCCACGCCCCCCACCACTCCCACCCCCACCTCCCCCGCCGCCCCCACCGCCACCACCACCGCCCCCGCCCGCCCCTCCCGAACCCTTGCCCCCCTTGCCCTTGCCGGTGCGGCGCCTCCCACTAGGAGCAGACGCAGCGGCGATCGACTCAGTGCCAACGAGGTCGACAGCAGCAGCAGAGGCAACAGAGGGCAAAAGGGGGACAGGGGAGCACCCCTCAAAGAAAGGGGTGCGGGGGTCACCACGAGAAGCACCCACAGCGGTAATACTCTTTTCCGCTGCGAGGAGGCGCTCCTCGAGGAGGTCAACAGTGAGTGTGGTGGGGCAAAGGGAGAGGAAGTGGTCCCTGACCGAGCGAAGGGTGTCAGGGAGCCGGGTGACTAGGTAGTAGAGGGTGATGTACATGGGGGGGGGGGTTCTTGGCGTAGAAGTCAGCAGGAAGCGCAGCGCGGTAGCGGGTATCACTAGTGCGAAGGTGCGTAATGAGGTCAGCGACTGTGGCAAAGGCAGCGAGGTCAGGGAACAGGTACGGCAGCATGAGGCGGCTAAGAGCAGCAGTGGCAGGGGAGGAGTAACGGTCAACTACAGCGTCGTACAAGGTCTTAGCAGTCTTGAACTGGCTAAAGTGCGCGCGCTCAGTGGACGGCAGGTGACTACGCACAGCAAGACGGGCAGCAGCATCGCGTGTGGTCCACTGTGAGCGAACAGTACTGTCGTCATCAGCAGCAGGGGCAGTAGAGGCACCAGAAGTGAGATCGAACAGGGAGATGTCGTGCTTGCTATCGCACTGCAGGAAAAGCTGCAGGTCATCTATCCAGACATCAAAATCGATCGCCCGACCCTCAGCATCAAAGGTAAGCACGTTGGGAGTAGCCATGACAGCAGCAGCAGTAGGCTAGCGACAGCAGGAGGCTAGCGACAGCAGTAGGCTAGCGACAGCAGTAGGCTAGCGACAGCAGCAGTAGGCTAGCGACAGCAGTGCGGTGCGGCTCGGTGAGTGCTTACCAGGGGCGGGCCGGGGTGCAGCGAGGCGGCAGAGGAGGGCCGCAACTCAGCTGCAGGGACAGTAGCGGCGGCCGCACCTGCAGTAGTAGCTGCTGCTGGGGCAGGTCCGGAGGTGACAGCTGCGGCAGGTCCGGCGGCTGCAGCTGCTGCAGATCCGATGGCGGCAGCTGCGGCAGGTCCGGCGGCGGCAGCTGCTGCAGGCCTGGCGGGAGCAGCTGCTACAGGTCCTGCAGCGGCAGCTGCTGCAGGTTCAGGAGCAGCAGCTGCTGCAGGTTCAGGAGCGGCAGCTGCTGCAGGTTCAGGAGCGGCAGCTGCTGCAGGTTCAGGAGCGGCAGCTGCTGCAGGTTCAGGAGCGGCAGCTGCTGCAGGTTCAGGAGCAGCAGCTGCTGCAGGTACGGTGGCAGCAGCAGCTGCAGAATCGGCAGCGGCAGCTGCTGCAGTGTCGGCTGCGGTAGGTGCAGCAGGTTCAGCAGTGGCGGCAGCTGCAGGCACGGCGGCGGCGGCTGCTGCAGGGACAGCGACGGCTGCAGCTGCAGGGACAGCGGCGGCCATAGCAGCCGCGGCTTCCACTGCAGGGACGGCGGCAGCTGCAGCTGCAGAAGCTGTGGTGGCGGCTGCTGGTGGGAAAGCGGCGACGTCGGGCCGGGAAGGGCGGCGCGAGGGGCCGCAGAGGTTCGGTGACGCGCCGTGAGAGAGCAGCACGAGGGGCCGCAGAGGGCAGGGGAGGGCCGTAATGGGCAAAGGGGCCGCACTACGGGCCGTAAATGACGGCGCGAGGGGCCGTAAGGAGCCGCTAAGGGCGGCGCGAGGGGCCTACGTGCGGCGTAAGGGGCCGTAGAGGGCCTAACAGGCGGCGCGAGGGGCCGTAAGGGTGGCGCGAGAGGCCAAAGGGTGGCGCGAGGGGCCGTGAATGCGGTCGCTAAGGGCGACGCTAAGGGGCCGTGAGGGGTTGTGGGAGGGCGCGACGGTAGGGGGCACACACGAGGCGCGACTCGTCGAGAGTACAAACCCTAAGGAAACAACCCCCTAGAGTCAACCCCACTAAGCCTAACAAATAACTCTAACATATAAATATATGTTTGACACTCCGGCGAGGTCAGAGCAGTGTTTGAACTGCTGACGTGGCAGACGCTTGGTGAGGAAGTCGGCTGCCATCTCAGTTGTTGAGCAGTATGCGAGGTCAACCTTGCCCTGGTCGATTTCGTCTTTGACGAAGAAGTATCGCAACGCGATGTGCTTCGTGCGGTTCACGAACCCTGGCTTATTCGCGATCTTGATGGCGCTCTGGTTGTCGCAGTGAAGGCGAAAGGTGGGCGAAGTTGGAATTTTCGCCTCCTGTAGCAGCTTCTGCAAGTACAGGCCTTCGCGAACTGCTGCTGTCGCGGCGATGTATTCTGCTTCGGCTGATGACAGGACAACAAGTTCCTGCTTCTGCAAGTTCCAAGAAATTGGGCCAGTAGGCTCCAGACGGAAAACAAAGCAGGTTCGGGACCGTCGATTCGCAGGGTCAGCGGCGTGATCTGCATCCACATAACCATTGAGGTTGAAGGAGGTTGTTGCCAGCGTGGAGTAGGAGAGCCCGATGTCAGGTGTGGAGATGAAGTACTGCAGGGCGCGTTCCAGGTCCAGCTGGTTCTCGACTACTGGCTTGCGAGAGTACTGTGCCAGTTGGCTGGCGATGTACGAAAGGTCGGGTCGGCATGTGACAGAAGCGAACAGCAGACAACCCAGTTGCTGCTGGTATAGTTGAAGTCCTGCGAGGGACAGGGGTTTATTGTCCGGTTTGTAGTTGGAGCTGGGGCTGCGATAGGGAGTTGAGAGTGGTGCGGAGGAGATGTTGAAGCGTTCCCCCAACTGCTCTGCATATTTAGAGGCTGACAGATGGATTGCTTCTGGCGCGTAGGTGATGTTCAGGCCCAAAAACTGAGTGACGTTATGGTTGATGGTGATGTCTATGTGCTTCGCCAGGTTCTCCTCGAACTGGTTAAGAAGCTTGTTGCAGGTGCCAGTGTACAGCAGGTCGTCGACGTAGACGGTGAGGAGGATGTAGTCCCCGCTAAAGTGAAGGCGGTACATCCCCGGGTCCTGAAACCGATCTCGAGCAGGATTTTGTGTAGGTGCTGTTGCCAAGGTCGAGGCACCTGTTTGATCCCGTAGAGGGATTTCTTTAGCTGGCACACCCTGGGGTCTCCTTCTCCGTAAGTGTGTGGTTGCTCCACGAAGATGGTTGCGTCCACCAACGCGTATAAGAACGCGTTCTTTACGTCGATCTGTCGCAGTGGCAGATGCTTAGCGGCGGCTATGGCGAGTAGTATCCTGACCGATGTGTGGCGGCTGACGGGAGCAAAGGTTTGGTCGAAGTCGATGCCGTGGCGCTGGTCGTATCCGCGTACGACCCATCGTGCCTTGAAGCGTTCGATGGTTCCGTCAGCGTTAGTCTTGAGGCGAAATACCCATTTTCTGCTTAGCACCCTTCTCCCCTTCGCTACCGCACGATCGACGAGAACCCAGGTGTCACGGGACTCCAGCGCCTTGAGTTCTGCATCCATTGCTGCACGCCATTCCTTTGCGTGAGGGCCTATCAAGGCCTGGCACGGGTTCTTGGGTTCGACGGCGCGGACGAGGGTAGAAACCGAGGTGTGAAGGCCGAGAAGTTGCAGACCAGACACATTCGTGGTGTCCGCGGTGTCGGTTGTGGGGACTTCCACCACGTCGTCATCGTCCCTCTCGTGGCCAGGTGTGGATGTGCTTGGTACGTCTTGGCGGCGAGATGGTCCGGGCGCGGGCGCGTCGTCACTGTCATCGTCGTCGTCGTCCGTGCGCGGGCAATGCGGGACACCGGGATGATCGTCAGTGTCGTCGCCGTAGAGTGCTGCTGCTACTGCTGCATCCTCTGGGGACGCAAAGCTACAGCCGCTGTTGACGTAGCCGCGAGCTTCGTTGTGCCGTTCGTCTTCGATCCACTGCTTAAAGGTGAGTCGTTCGTAGAAAAAAACATCGCGCGCGGGAACAATCTCCTTGCTGTTCATGTCAAGAATAAGCCAACCCTTGTGCTCGTTGCTGAGTCCCAGATGGATTCCCCAGCGCGCACGATGAGCAAACTTGCCGATTGTCGCTGAAGTCGGCCGGTATTGCACCATACACCCCCAAACCCTCAGCATGGATGGGTCCCCCCTTGAGCCGGTCCACTTCATGTGCGGGGAAAGGTTGTCCCTGTTGGCTGTGGTAGAGAGCAGGTTGTGCAGGCGCGCCGCGTGGTTCATGGCGTAGGGCCAGAATTTCTTGGGCAGGCCGGACTGGTTCATGAGGGCGCGCACTTTTGTCATGAGGGTGCGGTTAACCCTTTCCGCGACGCCTTGCTGTTGGTGAGCATAGGGGAGGGAAATTTCGTGCTTGATCCCCTTCTCGGTAAGAACGTTCTCTAGTTCGTGACTGCGGAACTCCTTGGCGCCATCACTCTGCCAGATTTTCAGCTTCCTCCCCGACTGCCGTTGTGCGTGTGCGAGCCAGATGCGGAAGACCTCTGGGGCCTTGGAGCGCGCGTCGACGTTGACAACCCAAACGTGGCGTGAGTAAGCGTCGATGAAGGTCAGCGTGTATTTTTCGCCGTTGAGGCCGTCGCAGGTGAGCACGATGAAGTCGCTGTACACCTTTTGCAACTTCTTGTAGCGATTGGTGCTCGTTTCCAGAGAGGGGTAGGCGCTGTGAGTAAGGGCCGCTGTGGGGCAAACGGTGCAAGTGAGCGGGTGTGGGGTGTTGTGCGGTTAGTGCCGTCGGGGCGTAGGATTGCTCCTGGGAGTTAGCAAAGGTCTGTTGTGAGATCATCCTCTGCGCGGTCAAAAAGACTAGGCAAGAATGATTGAAAGGAGAGGGGTTTCACTAGCAGCAGTTGGGGTACATATAGCAAACCCTAACTGGGTTGTACTCGCTATAGAGCACCCCACTACAGGCTAGACAATAATAACATTCTGACACACCCCCATAGCCAAAGTGGGGTGTAATCAGTACAATGAGCAGGCATAGCAATAGTTCACAATTATAAGCAAAGCTAGAGGTGATCATAGAGGGCAAGTGAGGAGGAGGAGAAACTGTGAGGGCGAGAAGATGAAAGGCGCCGACTGAAGCTGCAGACACACGGGCAACAGGAGCGGCGCGCACAGTGGCTACCGAGCGCACGAGGGCACCGGACTACGGGAGTATCTGGCTCCGCGGCTACGACGAGCACACACAGGAGCAACGGACCCACAGGCGACTGGCGAAGCAGGCTCGCTGGGCTACCGAAACGCGCGAGGGCATCCGGACTACTGGCGCTGCTGGCGTCACGACGGCTACCTCCACGCAACCTCCCCCGACCGTCCCACGCCCCTCTCACACACCCCCTGCTGACACCCTAGCTCCACTTCCACGGCACCCCCCTTAAACCCTAAACCCTCGGCTCCCACACACCCACCCCCCTCAGCGGCAGCTGCAGTAGTGGGAGACGGAGGAGGAGGAGGAGCCGCAGGTTACCCACACCGGTCACCCCCATGCCCGCCACCCCCAAACCCTAACGCAGGCAGGAGCGCGGGAAACAGCAGGGGCGGGGCACGGAGGGAAAGGGAGGCAGCGGGGTGGCTCTTGGGCGCCACGAAGAAGCAGGGCGCGGGCCCCCCGAGGGCGCCACGGCGGGTGACGGGAGGGGGGCCGCGCACGGGCCCCCGAGGGCGGCTCGACGGGCGACGGGAGGGGCCGCGCGCGGGCCCCCTAGGCGCCGCGACGAGGCGACGGGAGGGGGCGGCGCGCGGGCCCCCAAGGTGCCGCGACGAGGCGACGGGAGGGGGGGGACGCGCGGGCCCCCAGGGCGCCGCGACGAGGCGACGGGAGGAGGACGACGGGGGGCAGCGCGCAGGTCCCCGGGGGCGCCACGACGGGCAGGAAACCGCCGCGCGCCTCGGGGCGCACGGCGGGCAGAAAACCGCCGTACGCCCTGAGCGCACGGCAGGAAGAAGACGGCGCGCGCCCGAGGCGTGCGAGAAGCAGAATAGCAGCGGAAGCAGTTAGGTGGCGGGCCCACCCACAGGATCGACCCAAGGGGGTCGACCTGCTCTGATAGCATGTCAAAAAGACTAGGCAAGAATGATTGAAAGGAGAGGGGTTTCACTAGCAGCAGTTGGGGTACATATAGCAAACCCTAACTGGGTTGTACTCGCTATAGAGCACCCCACTACAGGCTAGACAATAATAACATTCTGACAGGCTTCGGCGAATCCACGGTCTTCCGTCTGGATGGTCCCACGACTCTTGGTTCATGAAAGGGAAATCGAGGGGGACGAGATCCACGAGCTCGTCGGACGAAGCCTGACAGCTTGGTATGTCGAAGTCCGGAACGTAGGTGCCGTTTATCGACCAAGCCCGCCTAAAGTATTTGTGCGACTCGGGAGGTGTGTCCGGAGGGGCGTGGGTGAGGATGAGGTCACGTGTGGCCAGGTCCGTAGTGAGCACGACTCCGCAGTCGCGAAGTTGTCCTGCCGAGAGAAGATTGAAGCGGAGGTCCGGGACGTAGAGCACGTCGT